CTTTGGGCCCACAATAGGTGTACCAATGAACTTAGCCTTCACACCATTAGCACCCTTAGAAAGCATGTAACAAGAATCGAATCTAATTGAGGATACATAAGGTTGCTTATTCTTGTTAGTCTTGCAATATTGCTCTATATGTCCAACTTGTTTGCATCTATTGCAAAACCGACCATTGCCCTTCATAAAGCTAGCTTTGGGAGTGACAAAGGCCGCCTTGCCTTTTTTAGGGGTATAGCCTAATCCCTCTTTGTTGAGAGAAAACCTTTGGCTACCCAAGCACTTTAGCAAGCGGGCATCTCCACCATAGGCATTGCCTAAGGCACGAGTGAGCTCATTCACCTCCTTCTTGATGATCTCATTTTCTACCATTAGTGAGGCATCACAAGTGAAATCATCACTCAAAGGTGAAGTTGAAGTAGAAGTGTTACAAAAAGGGTTAGTGGGAGCAACAACAATGAACTTATAAAAATATTCATCAATAATATCACATGTTAGTCCCACATCACAAGACACAATCACTTACTCCTTCTTGGCTTCCTACATTTTGACTTGCTCGATGAGAGAGGAATGAGCCTTTTCAAGCTTAGAGTGAGCTTTGCCAAGCTTCTCATGGGCTTCCATTAGCCTCTCATGAGTGGCGTTGAGCTCATCAAGAGATTGCTCAAGAAATTTAACTTTCTTGTGCAATTATTTGCACTCCTTTCTCTTCATCTCGACGCAAGTGTGCACTTGCTCACACATGTCCATGAGCTCCTCCTTGGTGTACTCATCATCATCATCACTCCTACAAGCATCACTTTCACATTCATCATCATCACTCACATCATATTTTACCTTGGTAGGCTTTGCCATGAGGCATGTCGAAGATGGAGGGCTTGTTGTTGATGGCGATACTTGCTAGTGCTTTCTTGATAGATTTTTTACCATCATCAATAGAGTCATCACTATCCGAAGAGCCATCACTATCCCATATGACCACATAGCCTCCACCCTTCTTCTTCTTTTGGAAGGTCATTCTCTTCTCCTTCTTCTCCTTCTTTTCTTTCTTGTCCTTCTTGTGCTTCTTCTCATCCTCATCATTGTCACTATTGTAGGGACAATTCGCTACAACGTGATCAAGGCTCTTGCAATTGTAGCATCTTCTCACATATTCTTTGCTTTTGGTGTGATCTCTTCTCTTTCTTGCACCATAGTCCTTCTTCTTCATGAATTTGCCCATCTTGCGCATAAATAGAGCCATGACCTCATCATCAATGTCACTAAGATCCTCATCATCATTTGATTCTTTCTTGTATTTGCCCTTGTTCTTGAATGATGAGCTAGCCTTGAATGCTACACTCTTCTTCTTCTTGTCTTCGTCTTCCTTCTTGTCATCCTTGTCAACCCCTTCCTTTTCACACGGTATGTCTCTTATGTCATGACATCACCTAGTACTTGATTAGGGGTAATCTCCTTCAATCCTCCTCTTATGATAAGCAATCTCAACATCTCAAATATTGGAGGTAGGCACATCAAGAACCGATGAGAGACATCATCATCCTTGATCTTCTCTCACAATGCCTTCAAGTCATTGATAATTACTTGCAACCGATGGAACATCTCCAGAATGCTCTCATCATCCTTCATCTTGAAGCTTGTCAACTTATCCTTGAGGATGTATAATTTGGCACTCTTCATCGTCGGTGTGCCCTCATATGTTTCCTCCAATCTCTTTCACACATCATTAGCTCTCTCATAATCCTTTATTTGCTCAAACACCTTGGAATCAATGGTATTATATATGGTGTTCAGAGCCATTGTATTGCATTGCTTGTTGGTCTTGTCTTGGTTGATGAGATTGTCGGGATCAATGATAGCATAGTTATTCTCGGTCACATCCCATACTTGATCATTGATTGAACCAGGATACATCTTCATCTTTCTCTTCTAATAATCATAGCATGTGCCATCAAAGAAAGGTGGTTTGCCCCCCACATGGCTGAACACAACTTGAGCCATAATTTGACATCGAGGTTGTTAAGCCTTCAATCAAACGGTGACCACGGCTCTGATACCACTGGAAAGGTCCTAATATAGCTTGAGGGGGTGAATAGCCTATTTAAAAATCTACAAACCAACTAGAGTAATTTGATTAGTATGACAAATAGCGAAAAGCAAACTTGCTTTAGCTCTACAAGGGTTGTAAGCCACCTATCCAACAATTCTAGTTGTTATAATCACTAGGCACACAATCTACTATGTCACTACTCACTAAGAGCTCTCACAATTGCTACACTAAAGAACTCCACTAGATGAACGTAATCTACAAAGGAAGCTCTTAATTTTAGCTATACTAAAGAGCTTGCTATAGCTAGTATGTGGGAATGTAAATGAGTAAGTGAGGTGATTATACCGCCGCGTAGAGGAGTGAACCAATCATAAGATGAATACTTAATCAATCACTAGGAGAATACCAAAGGGCAAGAGACAACCAATTTTCTCCTGAGGTTCACGTGCTTTCCAACATGCTATGTCCCCGTTGTGTCGACCAACACTTGGTGGTTCGGCGGCTAAGACGTGTTGCACGAACCTTGTCCACACAATTGGACACCGCAAGAATCTACCCACAAGTGAGATAACTCAATGACACGAGCAATCCATTAGGGTTACCTTTCGGCGCTCCACCGGGGAAGGTACAAGTCTCCTCACAATCATCGGAGATGGCCACGAACAATCACCAACTCGTGCCAATCCTCCTCCGCTGCTCCAAGTCGTCTAGGTGGTTGCAACCACCAAGAGCAACAAGCGAATCCCGCAGCGAAACACAAACACCAAGTGCGTCTAGATGCAATCACTCAAGCAATGCACTTGGATTCTCTCTCAATCTCATAAAGATGATAAATCAATGATGGAGATCAGTGGGAGGACTTTGGCTAAGCTCATAAGGTTGTTATGTCAATGCAAATGGCCAAGAGAGTGAGCTTGAGCCGGCCATAGGGCTTAAATAGAGAGCCCCCACGAATAGAGCCATTGGCTCCTCTGTCCTCTGAAAAATCAGGGCGACCGGACGTAGGACCCCAGCGTCCGGTTCGTAGATTTTCGCCATGTGTCCTCGACTTCAAATACTGATCGCCCGATCTCAACGGTCATCAACGCACTTAAGTTGTGACCGGACGCGCTGCTTCGAAGTGACCGGACGCAGGACCTCCAGCGTCTGATCGTTTCCAGTAAGGTTCCATTCGGTGACCGGACCCGGTCACCCTTGACCGGACTCACCCAGTGTCCGGTCAGTCACCCTCTTCTCTGTGCGTTGCCACGTCAGCAGGACCGGACGCACCCCATCAGCGTCCGGTCACGAAGTGACCCAGCGTCCGATCGAAGACCAACGCCAGCGTCTTCACTGCTTCCACTGACCGGACGCTCCGACCCAGTTGAGGCCAGCGTTCGGTGCACTCTGTGAAAACTTATCTTTTCAGTACAGAGCGCCGGTGGAGTTTCTTACCCTTGCTCCCAAATGCTAAACACAATGTGTATCACCTTTGTGCATGTATGTTAGCATATTTTCACAAAACATTTTCAAGGGTGTTAGCACTCCACTAGATCCTAAATGCGTATGCAATGAGTTAGAGCATCTAATGGCACTTTGATAACCGTATTTCGATACGAGTTTCACCCCTCTTAATAGTACGCCTATCAATCATAAATGTGATCATACTCTTTAAGTGTCTCGATCACTAAACCGAAAAGCTCCTATCAATTTCACCTTTGCCTTGAGCTTTTTGTTTTTTCTTTCTCCTTTTTCCAAGTCTAAGCATTTGATCATCACCATGCCATCACCATCATCATGTCATGATCTTCATTTGCTTCATCACTTGGAATAGTACTACCTCTCTCATAATCACTTTGATAAACTAGATTATCACTTAGGGTTTCATCAATTCACCAAAACCAAACTAGAGCTTTCATCTCCTCAACGTGTGTATAGTAGCACACACTAGCTTTGTATTTAAGTTAAGCACTTTCCTAGTGAGTGTGTCATGTGGTACTAATCACACTCCTACTTGGTATATTTGAATAAAGATATGCATGAATTGAAGGGAGCCTATATATATATGACTTGTTGTCAAAGCTACAAGTAGACTTAAAATATAAAGGAAGCATGCATGTTTAAAGCATGAGAAAGGGACGAGCTTAATCTTGCATAAAGGTCGTGGCGTGGTTATGCAACTGCAACGCGGCCATCGCAAAGTCCACAATAATCATAGACTTAGCTTAATTAGTAAAGAGGAATGGATGGATGATATCATCATCAGATATATAGCATCATCATATATGATATCGTCGTGACGGGCAACCCTTATTAGTAGCTTATAATAATAAAGATAAAGAGGAATGGATGGATGGATGGAGATGGAGCACGTACGCAGGAGGGTGGATCAGACCGGATCATCCAACTGTCAAATTAACGCGTGCGGTGCGGGTGCGGCGGGCCGGTCTATCTATGTGCTGTACTGTAGCTAGCTAACTACTAGCAACTGCAACGGCAGCACGTGCTAGCTGCAAAACGAACGTCTGCTGGTACGTACTGCACTGCACAGGGACAGGGACAGGGACAGGGAGCGAGAGAGAGGGGGAGTGAGGCTAGCTATAGCTAGCAACTGCAACGCCAGCAGCACGTGCGGGTAGCTGTGCCTGCCTCTGAGAGAATTGGGGAGACCAAGGCCTTGTTTAGTTCCTTCAAAAGCCAAGCACTCTCTCCGCACATCGCCAGCATTAAAGTAAAAAAATAACTAATTGCACAGTTTAATTGAAAAATCATGAGCCTCGCACATTGGAATGATATTGCCAAATAAGACGAAAACGCTACTATTCATCAGGTTACAATTTTTTGCAATCTAAAAGACCAAGATAGCGGCTGCGGCAGTATGTATATAATAATGGCGGCAGGGACAGGGAGGTCTCTCCATCCGAATCTAGCTAGTAGCTCAAGGACAGGGACAGCGAGGCTAGGCTAATCGATGGATCCATCAATGGCGGCAGCAATGGCAACGGAGGCTGCGGCTGCCGGCCACGTCCACCACCACCAGCAGCTGTTCCGCGTCGTGGACACGGCCCTGGTGGCTCCTGCAGCAGCAGCTGGTCCCGCACTGCCGCCGCGCTCCATCCCGCTCACCTTCTTCGACGTCAAGTGGCTGCACCTCCCGCCCGTGGAGCGCGTCCTCTTGTACCGCCTCTCCCCGGACGCCGACGTCCCCGCCATCCTCTCCGCTCTCAGGACCTCCCTCTCCCAGGCACTCCGCGCCTTCTACCCGATGGCAGGCCACGTCCGCATGCCCACGGAGGGCCGCCGCCACGAGCTGTCGTACAGCCCCGGCGACGCCGTCCCCTTCACCACCGCCGAGTACGACGTGGACATCGACCACCTCATCGCTGACGACTCCGTCCCCGTGCAGGTGGCCGCGCTCGCTCCGCTCGTGCCGCGCCTGCCTAAGGGCCGCGCGGTGCTCGCCGTGCAGGCCACGCTGTTGCTCGGCCGCTGCCGGGGCCTCGCGGTGGGAGTCACCGTCCACCACACCACCTGCGACGGAGCAGGATCCACGCACTTCCTCCACACATGGGCCGCAGCGGCCGGAGCAGATGAGCAGCATCGTCGTCAGCTCCCGCCACCACAGCCCCCCGTCATCGACCGGGAACTCATCCCGGACCCCAGGGGCCTCTACGACATCTACCTCAGCAGCATGCCGCCCATGGTGTCCCAGGACGACTTCGAGTTCGTGCTGGGCAAGCATCAGGATCCCGGCGAGGACAAGGCCCTGGCCACCTTCACGCTGTCCCAGCAGCTGCTGCAGAGCATCAAGAGCGCGGTCGCCGACGAGGCGGCGCGGCGCGGCATGGTGACACCGCCCCGGTGCTCCTCGATCCTCGCCACCTACGGCTTCATCTGGTCCTGCTACTGCCAGGTCCGACGAGCGGCAGCAACAGCAAAGACCAACATGAGCTACTTCCTCTTCTCCGTGGACCAGCGCTCTCGCCTGAAACCGCCCGTCCCTGACAAGTACTTCGGCAACTGCTGCTGCCCGGCCATCGTGACGGCGCCGACGGACGAGGTGGCGGCCGGAGGCATGGTCGGGCTGTTCGCGGCGTGCGCGGCGTGCGCGGCGGCGGTGGAGGAGGAGGTGCGCGAGGGGGCGCAGGAGCGGTGGGACGCGTGCGTGGCGCGGGTGAAGGAGGCGGTGGCCAACGGGACGCTGTCCGTGGCCGGCTCCCCCAGGTTCCGCGTCTACGACCTCGACTTTGGCTTCGGCCGGCCGGCCAAGGTGGACATGGTGTCGGTGGCCAAGACCGGCGCCATCTCCGTGGCGGACGCGCGCGTCGGAGGTGGCGTGGAGGTGGGCATCTCTCTGCCGGCGGCGACGGGGGACATGGACCGCTTCCGACACAGCGTTGCAGACGGGATGGCGTGGCTCCTCTCCTACAGTCACAGACTCGATCACAGTGACCAGTGAGTCACTTCTTTCTTGTGTGTTTATTAAATTTGTGTGGTTGTACTCCGTACGTGTTGAATAAGGAAACGATCGAGTAGCTCCAGTCAGTCAGTCACAGTGAGTGATGGTTAGCGTGCCATTTAATTTGGCCGGCCAATTGTTGTTTGTTGGAGCGATGTGAATGGTTAGCGCGCGTGTCATTTGCATCCTCCGCTCCGACGTGCAGGCGCGGTTTGTTCGCATATACGTACAGTATATGTACGGTACTGTAGAGTATTTCGCATGATGCATGATTCTTGAACTTTTGGTCGATCGTTTGAGCTCAGCTCGCCGCCGACGTTCCGCCGTTGCTCGTCTCTGACATTTTGGTAGTGAGTAGTAGACTAGAATGGTTTGGTTTAGCACAACCGGAAAAAGTCTCTTGGCCTAACTAAGACGCCATGTGTATTGGTTAGGGACGATGAATGTGGCATCTATAAGATTAATGTTTGGATAGACGGTCAAAGTGTAATTTTAAAGACCATCACCTGTTCACTGATTGGTGCTGGTACTGGTTTGTACTGGCTGGTGCTGTTTTTTTTAGAGAAAAACACTATTGATTGGTTAAATAAGTCTGGCTAAAACCAATAAGCGAACATGTTGCATGTCGAGGCATGCCTTGTAAAAGAGAACGGAGGGACTAATATCTTATTCGGGAAAGAACAATGTTATACAGAACCAGACCTAGTAAATTATTGTGAGCTATTGATAACCGGGCTATTTTTTTTCTTTTCCGATATTTATTGAAAAGGCTGTGATATCATATTTCTTTGGTACGGTTGGAGATGCTCTAAACAACACCCCCAAAAAAAAAAAAAATGGGTGTGTTTGTGCCTCATTCACGCTCCCACGCTGTGTATATTATGTCTTGGTTTTGCATACATGCATGCATGTTACTGCTGTTCACTCGGCAACCGTACCGTACTGGTTATATACATCATTTAATTATGATTTGAATTGAAAAGTTTGAAACACCCTCGACCGATCGACGGAGAAAAATACTATTCGGGACATGAACAGTGATTCTGTGAGAGGATGCAAAACGCTGCTCTGTTTGGGGCTTTGACTGAGGCCCGTTCAGTTGCTGCGGCACATGCATGGGGGACTAAATGTAGACGGAAAAAAAAACTAATTACAGTTGATCGAGAAATCGCGAGAGACGAAACTTTTGAACCTAATTAGTCCATAATTAGACACTAATTACCAAATACAAACGAAATGCTACAGTGAGCCAAAATCCAAAATTTTTTAGATCTAAACGCACCCTGAGTGACATGCAGGCATTTCGGCTTTGGTTGGCAGCCCTGCTCTCGACCCCTTGTTAGTAGGCATGCAGTGCATGTTATATCTTAGGGTCACCTTAGGTAAATCTAGCGGGTAAAACAACTTGACAGTGAAATAAACACGTAGATCTGGAATCCAAAAACTTAGAAATCTAAAGGGAGAAAGGAGAGAAGGGGAATGTTACCGACCATCAGCGGGCTTGGCGCTGGAGCTCAAGGTCGCCATGGGGAAGGTGTGGCGGCCCGGGTCGGTGGAGTCACGGCGAGGTCCAGGAGCGACGACGAGTGGACGTGAACTGTGGCGGTGCTTCCCGCTGCTTCTGCGCGTCTAGGGATCGGACCTAGGTTTTCTGTCGGTGGGGGTACTGTGGCAGCGGTAAACCTCGTGTCCCAAGCCGTCGACTTCCACCTCTTTATATAACGCAGTGTGACAGGGGTCCACCAACCATGTAGGGTTGGGCGCCCCCGACCAGGGCGGGAGATCAAGGACTACGACTCGGTCGTTGGACCGAGTCGGATGAGATCAATGCTAAACATTATTCCCCTTGATCTCATCTTATGACTTAAACTTAAAATACTTATCTCTTTTTCCATTCCATCACAGATTAGCGCATAGAGTGTGACTCATCATAACGGTTAGTACCATTGATTAACAGCTATAATACACCTCTCTTTTTTTGAAACAGATTCTTAACTAGGCCCTTATTGTCTAGGAATCATAGTCTTTCCCGTAAACCCATGCCAGCTAAGGGTTCTCTGAACACATTGGGCGGTAAGCCTTTTGTAAGTAGACGCAAGCATTTTCTTTGTACTTATATGCTCGAGACTAATAGAATGATCCCGGACTTTGTCTTTCACAACATAAAATTTTATGTCAATGTGTTTGGTAGCACAACTTGACTTATTGTTGTGAGCATAACATACTGTTGGCTCATTGTCACAGTACAACTTGAGTGGCTTATGAATGTCGTCGACCACTTTCAACCCGGACATAATTTCTTTAGCCAGTTCACCTGCCCCGTAGCCTCATAACATGCTACAAACTCGGCACACATCATGGATGATGCAATGACGGTTTACTTGGATCTTTTCCACGATATAGCTCCCCTGCGAGAGTAAATACATAGCATGATGTGGATTTTCTATCATCTACATCTCCCGTAAAATCTGAATCTGAATACCCCTCTATCTGTAGATAATCAGATCTTCTGTAAGTTAGCATGAGACCTTTTGTGCCTTGTAAATAACACCGAGCTTTTTTTACCATTCTACAGTGTTCTATTTCTGGATTACTCTAATATCTGCCAAGTATCCCGGTAACAAAAGCTAAGTCATGACGTGTACATACTTAAGCATACTGTAAGGTTCCAACAGCCGAAGCATATGGAACTGCTTTCATTCGATCGATCTTATATTGGTTCCTAGTACATTGAAATTCCCCAAAACTATCGTCCATGACTATGGGAGCAGGTGAAGGCTTACACGCATGCATGCTGTATTTCTTTAGAACCTTTTTAAGTATGCCTTTTGCGATAATCCTACAACCCCCTTTCTCCTATCTCGGTGAATCTCTATTCCTAAAACGAATGAAGCTTCACCTAGATCTTTTATATTAAAATTTGAGGACAAGAATTTTTCGTCTCCAGTAGTAGATTAACATCACTACTAGTGAGTAAGATGTCATCCACATACAAGATGAGGAAAATGAATTTTCCATTCTTGAACTTTGTATAAATGCAATTGTCCTCTACATTCTCTTTAAACCCAAACTTTCTTATCGTTCCATCAAACTTTAAATACCACTGTGTAGAGACTTGTTTTAATCCATAATTGGATTTCTTCAAACGACATCACATACGTTATTTTCCTTTTACGACAAAACCTTTTGGTCGTGCCATATAAATATTTTCATCCAGATCCCCGCGTTAAAAAAAAGTCGTCTTTACATCCATCTAATGTAATTCTAAATCGTAGTGTGCCACTAACGCCATTATGATTCTAAAAGAATCTTTGCATGAGACTGGAGAAAGTGTCTCATTGTAATCTATTCCTTCTCTTTGCGTGAAACCTTTCGCCACAGGTCGCGCTTTAAATCTTTCCATATTCTTTTTGAGTCATATTTAGTTTTGTAGATCCATTTATAACCTACTGTCTTGGCTCCTTTAGGAATTTTATCTAAGTCTCAAACGTCATTGGTACTCATTGATCTTATTTCATTTTGCATGGCTTCAAACCACTTCGACGAGTGAGTGTTTCTCATGGCTTCTTCAAATGAGGTGGGATCACCCTCTATTTGAAATTCTTCACATTCATATACTTCGTAGTCATCAGGAATGGCTGGTTTTCTTGCTCTTTGAGACCTTCTGGGGTCTCATTAGTTGACGCTTGTTTCATATGGGGCTGTTGTTGCTCTTCCTCATGTGCGAAAACAGGTTCTATAGGATCCTGAAGGACATGTTCCTCATGTTCATTTATTATTGCCAAGGGAGAACTAACAAGTGTTGTCACTACAGTGTCCTGCACTATTGGTGCAGCAGCAACATGTAGCGAGAAAAATGGCTCCTGAACCATCGGAGTGGGCACGTATACCCGCTTCTCCTCAAAATTAATTTCTCGCGCTACCATGCTCCCCCTGACCATCTCATCCTCCAAGAACACAGCGTGTCTGGTTTCTACAAACTTCATATGTCTGTCACGACAGTAGAAACAATAACCTTTTAACTTGTCTGGATATCCAATGAAATGGCAACTGACTGTCTTAGAGTCTAGCTTCCCAATATTTGGGTTAACTACTTTAGCCTCAGCTGGACAGCCCCACACACGTAAATGATTAAGTGAGGATTCCCTTTCTGTCCACAACTCATATGGTGTTTTAGGCATCGACTTGCTTGGTACACGATTGAGAATATGAATGGCGGTTTTTAATGCCTCTATCCACAAACTTATCGGGAAAGTAGAATAACTTATCATACTTCTCACCATATCCAATAAAGTACGGTTGCGTCTTTTAGCTACTCCATTATGTTGAGGCTCGCCCGTTGTAGAATACTGGGCAACTATGCAATTTTCCTGTAACAACTTTACAAAAGGTCCAGAAACTTGGCCATATGGGGTATGTCGACCGTAGTACTTCCCCCTACGGTCAGATCTTACTACCTTAATCTTTAAATTGTGCTGATTTTCTAGTTCATCCTTAAATATCTTAAATTTATCCAATGCTTCTGATCTTTTCTTAATTGAATAAATATAGCCATAACGAGAATAATCATCTGTGAATGTTATAAATGAATCACAACCATCCACACTTTCACAGGAAAAGGACCATAGATATCTGTGTGAATTATTTTCAAAATTCCTGCGCTTCGTTTGACGTCTTTCTTTATTTTTTTAATATACTTTCCTTTAATGCAATCAATGCATTGTTCTAAGTCTAAAAATTCTAATGGCGGAAGAATTAATTTCTTAATTAATCGTTCTATTCCCCCCTTGAAATATGGCATAAACAACAGTGCCATAATTTCAATCATACGTCATGAATTCTCTTCCGCTTATTACTTACACTCATAAATGAGGATGCATTCTTATTATTAGTGCTCACAACATTCATATTTTCACAAAGTGATAACAAATAAAGCTTGTCTTGTCGGAAGGCAAGACCAACACATTTATGATTAAATATAATCTTACATTGGCCATTACCAAAATGGCAATCATATCAATCATCGTCTAAACGTGAGACATTTATTAAGTTTCTACGCAAAAATGGTATATAAAGGACATCTGTAAGGTTAAGTACAAAGCCATCATTTAATTCTAATGGGAGTTTTCCAATAGCTTCAACTTCAGCTTTGAAACTAATATTATATCTTAGGATCACCTAGAGGTAAATCTAGCGGGTAAAACAAGTTGACAGTGAAATAAACACATAGATCTGGAATCTAAAAACTTAGAAATCTAAAGGGAGAAAGGAGAGAGGGAGAGAGGGGGAATGTTACCGACCATCAGCGAGCTTGGCGCTAGAGCTCGAGGTCACCATGGGGAAGGTGTGGTGGCCTGGGTCGGTGGAGTCGCGGTGAGGTCCAGGAGCGACGACGAGTAGACGCGAATGGTGGCACGCTTCCCGCCGCTTCTGTGCGTCTAGGGATCAGACCTAGGTTTTCTGTCAGTGGGGTACTGTGACAGCAGTAAAGTTTCATATTCTTTGGGCAAAGAAGCAAAAAACAAATGAATTAGGAACTCATCCTTGAGCCTCATGTCCATTGGCTTGAGCTTGGATGCCGTGTTGTTTATCTTCAGTATGTGCTCTCTAATCCCTCCGCCAGTGTATTTTTCACTGACTAACTTCTTAATAAGAGTGCTTGCATAAGCCTTTGAAGAGCCAGGAAACTGACTCTCCACCTTGTTTAGATACTCAGTGGCAGTGGTATATTCTGGGATTGATCCCCTTATTGGATCATCAATGGAGCCCTTAATCACCATCAAACATTTGCGGTTTGAACTATACCACTTCGCACGATCAAGATCGTACTTTATTCTCACTGATGCATGGTCACACTGTCGAGTAGCGAAAGCTGCATCAGTCTCATTTTCTGCTCTCATCGGGTCCTCAGGCTCAGTGAGACACGAAGAGATAAGTGCTAGATCATTGTCTGACAGCGCAAGTGATATCTCAAGCTTTCTCTCGCCATGTGTTATAGTTGTTTCCATTGAGATGAGGAATGGACGAGATAAATATCATCGGGTTGTATCCTGAAACAACGTCAGAGAAAGTGAAAAACAGTTGACATAATTATTGCATGCCGTAATTTAACGTTGGTCAAAATTAAAACATACAATATGCTTCTACATTAACTCTACATCACCGTTGGGCAGAAATAGAACTAATGCATAAAACTCATAAATAACCTTATAGTGTTGTTATCATTAACGTTGATCAAAAAATAACAATACAATAATTTAACTTAAATAAATATGACTACTCTAATTCAATTTTCTTGTTGGTTCTAATTTAATTAGAGGATAAACATATTCATAGTAGTGGAAACATGAAAAATTCATGAAAAATAATACTTATTCAGAAGCATCACTGAGTACTTATCTACTCTTTAAACAAATTATCCCGTTGGTTTAAATTTGAGTAGAGATTAAACATCAAAACTTAACAAATTCATCAAAATGTGCTTTTGAAAAATAATAAAACAAAACAGAGAAGTTACTGTGCATTCGGCCCGAGGCCCATCGCGCGTTGTGCGCTGCCGCGGCCCAGCCGCGCGCGCCACCCTCCCTGCGCCCAGGCCGCAACCTGGGCCTGAGCCGGGAATTGTCAACCCCGCCTGGGCCGAAAATAGCCCGAGCTCTGCCAGCCGTCGGATCTGATCCGACGGTCGTCCGTTGTTCTGGGGGAAACAAAACCGGGCGCTCTCTTTATATAGCGCAGTGCGACGGGGGCACACCAACCATGTAGGGTTGGACGTCCCCGATCAAGGCGCGAGATCAAGGACTCCGACTCGGTCGTTGGACCGAGTCGGATGAGATCAATACTAACATTGCAGTGCAGGTGATGAGATGAGATGATGCAATTCTTCATCAGGTACTGTACGGTGTTGAAACTTTGTCGACCCAACTTGGTGATGAATTAATGGTGATCCCGTTATAATTCCATTGCATGCGTGCATTGCTCACAGTCAAGTCAAAGCAGGTGGTAGGGTTAGCCAAATTTAGGCCCTGAAACCTGCACCGCCCGCATCGCCTTGAGCAAATTAAAGCTGCTTATTACAGGTGCATTGCATGAGTTGGGCAGATGAGCTAGGTCGAGGTGGTGTCAGTAGTAGTGATCAGTCCCAGGCAGGCAGGCCAGCCATGGCGAGGAGGAGGCAGAGGTCGCTGCTCTTGGTCGCCGTCGTCCAGTTCCTGAGCCTGTGCGTCGCCGAGTGGCATCTCCATCTCGTGGAAGCATACAAGAAGGCATGACAAGCATTATATTTATTATATTGCTTTGCTTGCGATCTAGTAGGAGGATTTGTTACCAACCGTTAATTAAGTAAAAATTAATCCACTAACTAATAATGCAGTCGTACATCGTGTATCTGGGAGCACATGCCTATGGTCGTGATGCGTTGGCGGAGGAGCATGCCCGCGCCACCCAGTCGCACCATCACCTCCTGGCATCGATTCTCGGCGGCGACGACGAGACGGCGCGGCAGTCCATCTTCTACTCCTACACCAAGAGCACCCTCAATGGCTTCGCGGCGCACCTGGAGGAAGCCGTCGCGAAGCAGATCGAGGAGCACCCCGAGGTGGTGGCGGTGCTGGAGAGCAAGATGCTCAAGCTGCACACCACCCGCTCCTGGGACTTCATGGACCTGGAGCGCGACGGCCAGGTCCTCCCGGGCTCCATCTGGAACCACGCCAAGTTCGGGCAGGACGTGATCATCGCCAGCCTCGACAGCGGCGTGTGGCCCGAGTCCCACAGCTTCACCGACGCCGGCCTGGACGACGTGCCCGCCCGCTGGAAGGGCTCCTGCCAGGACACCGTCAAGTACGGCGTCGCCTGCAACCGCAAGCTCGTCGGCGCCAGGTTCTTCAACAGGGACATGCTGCTCGGCAACCCCGCCGTCGTGGCCGCCAACTGGACGCGCGACACCGAGGGCCACGGCACCCACACGCTCTCCACCGCCGCCGGCACCTTCGTGCCGCGCGCCAGCCTCTTCGGCTACGCCACCGGCACCGCCAAGGGCGGCGCGCCGCGGGCGCGCGTCGCCGCCTACAAGGTCTGCTGGTCGGGGGAGTGCGCCGCAGCCGACGTCCTCGCGGGATTCGAGTCCGCCATCCACGACGGCGCCGACGTCATCTCCGTCTCCTTCGGCCAGGATGCGCCCCTCGCCGACGACTCCAGGTCCCTCTTCCAGGAGCCCGTCACGCTCGGCTCCCTCCACGCCGCCGTCCACGGCGTCTCCGTCGTCTGCTCCGCCGGCAACTCCGGCCCATACGACAACACCGTCGTCAACGCCGCGCCCTGGGTCACCACCGTCGCCGCCACCACCGTCGACAGGGACTTCCCCAACGTCCTCACCCTCGGCAACAGCGTGCGGCTCAAGGGGATGAGCCTCGAGTCCACCACGCTGCACTCCAACACGCTCTACCCGATGGTCGACGCCGCGCGCGCCGCCCGCGCCACCTCCAACCCGTACGACGCCTCCAGCTGCGCTCTCGGCACGCTCGACCCCGCCGCCGTCAAGGGCAAGATCGTCGTGTGCCGCCGCGGCGGCGGCGAAGTCTCCCGGGTCACCAAGGGGATGGCCGTGCTCGACGCGGGTGGCGCCGGGATGATCCTCGCCAACGACAGGATGGACGGCGAGGACATCGTCGCCGACCCGCACGTGCTCCCGGCCACCATGATCACCTACAGCGAGGCCGTCTCCCTGTACGGCTACATGGCGTCCACGGCCAACCCCGTCGCCAACATCTCGCCCTCCAAGACGGAGGTCGGCGTCAAGAACTCGCCGTCCGTGGCGGGCTTCTCCTCCCGCGGGCCCAGCGGCACGCTGCCGTACGTCCTCAAGCCCGACATCGCCGCGCCGGGGGTCGACATCCTGGCCGCCTTCACCGAGTACGTCGGCCCCACGGAGCTCGCCTCCGACAAGCGCCGCTCCGAGTACGCCATCCTGTCCGGCACGTCCATGGCCTGCCCGCACGTCTCCGGCGTCATCGCGCTCCTCAAGGCGGCGCGCCCCGAGTGGAGCCCCGCCGCGATGCGCTCCGCGATCATGACCACGGCGCGCACCCAGGACAACACGGGGGCGCCCATGCGCGACCACGACGGCAGGGAGGCCAACGCCTTCGCGTACGGCGCCGGCAACGTGCACCCCAACCACGCCGTCGACCCGGGCCTCGTGTACGACGCCACCCCCGACGACTACTTCACCTTCCTCTGCTCCATGGGCTTCTCCGAGGCAGACATGAAGCGCCTCAGCGCCGGCAAGTTCGCGTGCCCGGCTAATAAGACTAAGGTGCCCGCCAGGGAGGACCTCAACTACCCGTCCATCGTGGTGCCGTCGCTGCGCGGCGCACAGACGGTGACGCGGCGGCTCAAGAACGTCGGCCGTCCGGCCAAGTACCTCGCGTCCTGGCGCGCGCCGCTCGGGATCGCCATGGAGGTGAAGCCGACGGTGCTCGAGTTCAGCAAGGTCAGCGAGGAGAAGGAGTTCAAGGTGACGGTGACGTCGCAGAAGGACAAGATCGGGATGGGCTACGTCTTTGGGAGGCTCGTCTGGACAGACGGGACCCACTATGTCAGGAGCCCTGTCGTCGTCAACGCACTCGCATGATTCTTCAATTATTCCTGGAAACTACCTAGTACTCCTACTTAATTAGGATCCAAGCAAGGGCCTTGTGAATTTTTGTGACACATAAGTAAGGGTTTAAAATCTGTTTTTTCTTCTTCGTATTATTAGTGACGAAATGAGATAGCCTTTTTTACTTAGACATATTATTCTTTAATAAATAATTTTGGCTCTTTGCATGGGAACTTGAATTAATGGTAAACAAATTAAGCTACATATAATCTGTATCTACATATAATAAATCGTGGCATGCTGTTAAGTTATTGCTTTAGATAAATTTATACATTTTGAATGAAACATTATGTTATGGGTCTGTCTAGCAATCTGGTGACAGATTTCTTTTGCCAAAATCTGTCAGATTTTTAGTTGGGTCTATCTAGCAATCTGGTGATATATTTCTTTTGTCAAAATCTGTCAGATGTTTAGCCAATCAAAAAGAAGACAGCTCACCAAAAAGAAAATCTGACAGATAATACACATATAAATCTATCGACAATTTTGTTGGCTTTATATCTGTTGAATTTTGGACCAACAGTTAACGGGTTTAGAAACCCACTCGTTTGAGTTTTGAACATTGCAGTACAAAGTTTTTAATGTTATAGTTCAAAATTTTGAACCTAGGAGTACAAAGTTTGTAATGCCATAGTTGAAAGTTTATGAATCCTTAGTGTAAAGTTTTGAACCTAGCAGCACAAAGTTTATAATGTCAAGGTTCAAAGTTTTGTACCTAGAAGTATAAAGTTTGTAATGTTATAGTTCAAAGTTTATAAATTCTGAGCGTAAAGTTTTGAATCTAGCAGTACAAAGTTTATAATGTGATATTTCAAAGTTTTGAACCTAGCAGTACAAAGTCAGTTTTTTTCCGAGTTGTCATCTTTTTATTGGTCAAAATCTGAGTTAGACAACACGAATCTTCAAACAAAATAAACGACCAGGAATCTGACAGATATAGATCAACATATTCTGTCAATAGAAATATAGCAATTTTCTTATGTTATATATCTATACTTGTAATTTAATTTTAACCACTTCATGTTCTTATAAAACAAAACTACCACACATATAATTCTTCAAGGAGAAAATTTAGCATCTTAAGTATCATGGTCTAGGATAAAACAATTGTTTTGTTTATGCCATCGTAGTAACTAAGAGCGTCTCTATCGTCTTTTCCACACATTCTTTTTTTTTTGTGACTTGCCTTTTCCACACATTCAAGGGTGGCTCTCTCCACGCTTTGTCATTCCAACGTGTTCGGCAAGGCATTAGACTGCTCACAGTGTGGGCAAAGATCGGTGCTGACGAGGAGAGAGAAGATTGGAGCATCGATTTCGAGGATTGCTGCTGCCTCGATGCGGAGTTCGGCAGGAGAGAGGAAAGCCAGGTAGGTAATGTTGTTGCCTTTTTCTGTTTAGTGGGTCCTACTACGCGATGTCTGCCCATTGCAGCTTGATGCAGAGTTTCTGCTTTTGGTTTTAAACATCGATCGATTCACACACACTGTGGCTCACTCGATGCCCTCGTGTATTTTTGAACTGTTCGGTGGGCTAATTTTCACGTTTCGTGGCTGTTAATAGATTTCTGACGTTTTTGGGAGTCCAGGACACAGACTAGCCGCTAGACAACACAAGTGTACCGTATATGCAACCAAGATGTATGTTCGATGCCTAAATGAAGATTTTTCTTTCCAGTGTTATATTAGGTCCTAGATAGATGATACGTTTTGGGGGCCTCTCGAGGACACATGGTCATGAAGCGCTCGTTTTTTTTTTGATGAAAATGAAGCCCTCGTGTTCCCTGGTGGCCATTGTTACTGCGTGTTCTTGTTGTTCCGGTACGTCCGGCATGGCTTTCTTTGTACTTTGGTCTTGTTGTTCCGGTACGTCCGACGCTCATGCCTGATTTTCACGCTCTACCACGTTTTGTGGGGCATAGCTAGCTTATGGATTTCAACGTTGGGTTTTGTGGATCTTGATGTTGCCTGGTGTTGACGCCGAATAGGATCTGGGTCACACACACTAGAAGGGCTAGCACACCCCGAGGCCAACAAACGACCGAGAGCATGACGGATCGACGAAACCAATCTAGAGACCGGTTCGGTCGACGTTGAGCTCATTCTTCGCCGGCTGGTAGACTCCTGAACGGCCTAGCCGACTTTGGGCGCCTGGCCTGCTGGCCAGGTTTGTGGGTTGGCCTGGCCGGCTCAGGCAGGGCAGCGCCATCTCTTTCTTCTCTTCGCTTTGTGCTTTGAATTGTGATGCACTAAATATATTTAGCACGTCCTTGATGTCAACAATTTGATGCATGGCGTAAACCAATTTCTCACATTTTTGCGTGTCTAAGAGCAACTCCAGCCCAAGCCCCTACCTAGGCCCCTACCCTAAATTTTAGGAGTTTGGAAAAAAATCCAACTCCAGTGGAGCCTCAAGATGGGCTCCCATTTTACATGCCCCCTCAAATTATAATCTCAACCCTCCAGATCCAGCACCCCCCTATCCCGTGGGGCCCACCCCACTTTTCCTCTCCCCATCGCCGCGACCTCGCCGCACGCACGCACGCGACCGCGCCGTCGCCGCCGGCTGCGCCGCCCGCGTCGCCCCGCCTTGGCTGCTTCCCGCTGACACCGGCGCGCTGTCTCCCGCTGCCGCTCGCCCCCCTCACTGCCGGCTCCGGCGAACATGGCGGCGCCGGGTTTCTCCGGAGGCGCGCTGCCTCCCCGTTCGGCTGCTGCCACGAAACGGCGTGCCTTCGTGGCTCCTCATCGCCAATCCTCCTCGATTCCCCTCACTGCCAACCTTCCTCGTCGCCAAGAAGGCCCTTCTCCCGGCGGCGGCGGCGGCAGGATACCTCCTCCCGGCAGTGGCAGCAGCGGCTTACCTCCTCGGCTCCCCAACGACCAGCCTCTACTCGCCCCTCGCGCGTTGACCTTCACGGAGCCTCACGCCGCCACATGGGACGCCGGCAGCACCGCAACATCACCAGCAGAGCTCTATGAGGTTGCCGGCGACGACTTCAGCCCCAACCATTGGACGCCTGCCTACTCGGTATGTGTTCGTAGACTGTAAGAATACCCATGTGACTGAATGCCATACTCAATCAGTCTTGTGTTCGCTTTGGTTGGGTGAATCATTTGTCTAGAGCACTTGTTTCTTGTATAAATCAGTCTTGTGTTCGCTTTGGTTGGGTGAATCATTTGGTTTAGGACAACAGGCCATCTTGCTCATGCATTGTCTATGTGACTGACTGAGTGCTGGTGTGGTTGGGATCCAGCATTCCTCAACTGGTTGATTCTGTGAGAAACTGTTGTGTGGGATTGTTCATCCCTGAATGTTACAGCTATTATGTCTGGTTAATTGAGGCATTTACCATGTGTTTAGTTTATTGGCACCACATCCTAACTAACCGTTTGTGCTTGTTACCTCCAATTAATTAGAAGGGGAGCAGCACGTATGTATTGTACATACATGATATGCATATGCATAGCAATATGCTTGACTGCTTGAGTATAGTTCTGTCATTTTATTTCTGGCTGACATGATGCTCACATCTTCCAAGTGCTTGATTTCACCTTTTGCACTGTCTTGAGATATATATGCCAGCCATATCTTGAGATGCTTGATTTCACCTTTTGCACTGTCTTTGCAGGAACCAAGGGCTTCAAGTGCAGCTGGATATTACACAAACATGATCACACAGGAAGTGGGTGATGATTTGGAGTTGCTGAGGCAGCAGGATGCCACTCCAAGTACTGGCGGCAAAGGATCATCCAAGCGAGGCAGCAACTACAGTAATCTTGAAGATATCCAACTTTGCAAATCTTGGATTCATATCAGCAATGACCCTATCATAGGGAATGACCAGCTAGGAAAAACTTATTGGGAGAGAATCGCAAATGATTTCCACAAGAATAGGGACTTTGAGTCCGATAGGAGTGCAAATTCACTCGAGCATCGCTTTGGGATCATACTAAAGGAGTGCATGAAATTCCAAGGCTACTATGAGGAGGTTGAGCGTCGTCATCCAAGCGGCATTCCATACCAAGAGCATGTAATTGGTTCATCCCATATCTTGTCATTGCTATATATCTAATCATGCACTTGATCTTTGCTGCAGCTGCTGGAAGCTCAAGCAAGGTATGCCAGAAAAGCGAAGGGCAAAAATTATCAATTCGAACATTGCTGGCTCACGTTGAGGCATACTCAGAAGTTCGAATCGACACTTGAAGGCAACAAGAGGCCGGCCAAGTCCAGAGAGCTCAACCTCCCAGTAGGAAGTGAACAAGACGATGAGTCAACCGCCCAAGGCCAAGAGAGCTCCTCAATCCCTTGTGCCAAGAAAGCCCGACCTCCTGGTAGAAAGCAATCCAAAGAGAAGCTGAAAAAGAATGAAGGAGATGACGAGTACAAGAATATGATGCAAAACTTGATGGTAATGAAGACCGAGGAACATAAGATGAAGAAAGAAAGGTGGGAGAAGGATATGATGCTTGAGCAGCGCAGGATTGAGATGGAGGAGCAGCGGCTACAGTGGGAGCAGGAACAGAAAATTATGTTTTGTGATGTGACCACCATGGACGATGATCAAAGGGCATATGTGTTGGCCAAGAGAGCGAAGATTGCGAAGGCGATGAGTGCTAGTGTTGGCGAGACGGCTAGTGGTGAGAGTGGAGTCTAGGATATTGTATTACCTTGCTGCTATTGTATTACTAAACCTATGTGATTGTGTTATGAGCTTAGTTCTAGTTTTGTTATGAGCTTGCCAAATATACAAAAGTGCATACTTTATTGCTGCCATAGTTCTAGTTCTGTTATGAGCTTATTGTTGTCAAGCAGTAAACCACCAAGCTGTAAATAGACAGTTACAAGCTGTAAATCACACATAATTAAGAACACAGATCTGGATCAAATAACAAGAGATAAGTAAACCAGAGTGATGAGAAGCAACACATAACTGAAGTCAGAAGTCATGTCAAATAGACAGTTAATAATGACACATATCATATAGGTGTGTTATTACAAAGGTTTTATTTTCCCAGAAACTGATGACACAGTGCAGAGTACACAGGACAGGGTGATGTTCTCATGAAAATATTGAGCAAAGCACAGGTACAAATCCACACAGAAACACTAGCTTGAACTATGAATTGCCCACAAGTGCTCTACAAGATCATCACGAAGTCGCTCATGTGAAGACCTATCCTCAATCTCGTCGTGTATCTTCAGGAAGTCCTCTAGCACAAGCGGATTACGACGTTGGTAGTCCATAGGTTGCAACACAGGGACACCCTCCTGATGGTAGTTAAAATCATCTTCCTCATCTCGCTCATCCTCAATGATCATGTTGTGCAAGACTACACAAGCTTGCATTATATACCATAGATCTTGTCCCACATTCTTGCAGGACCCCGCACAATTGCAAAGCGAGCTTGGAGTACCCCAAACGCTCTTTCCACATCTTTCCTCGCTGCTTCTTGTGCCATTGTGAAGTGGATCTTCTTGTTGCCCTGTGGATGTTGAAAAGCTTTGACAAACGTTGCCCAGGCTGGGTATATCCCATCAGCAAGATAGTACCCCATTGTGTACTTGTTTCCATTGACCATGTATTCCACTTGTGGCGCCGTCCCAGAAGTCAGACTTTGGAAGAGTGGAGAGCGGCGCAAAACGTTGATATCATTTAGAGAACCTGGAAGGCAGAAGAATGCATGCCAGATCCATAGATCTTGTGATGCAACGGCCTCAAGGATCATGGTCGGCCCATCTTCTTTCCCTTCGTATGCTCCTCTCCAACCTACTGGGCACTTGTCCCATTTCCAATGCATGCAATCAACGGAACCAAGCATTCCTGGGAACCCTCTTGCGCTATTAATTGCCAACAGCCTGGCTGTGTCCTGGGCATTGGGGGCCCTCAAGTATTCTTCACCAAAGACCTCGACAACAGCCTTCACAAAATGTTTCAGACACTCAATGATGGTGCTCTCTCCCATCCTCACATACTCATCCAAAAAGTCGGCCGAAATACCATAGGAAGCATCCGAACGGCGGCAACAACCTTCTGTATGGGAGAGGCGCCAAGAGTTCCAACGGCATCGGGCTTCTGACGGAAATAGTCATCATGAGACTCCACCGCATCCACTATCCAGTAGAAAGAGCGACACGGACATCCGAAACCTCCTTCGAAATGTTTCTCCATATACACCTTTGGTCGGCGAAGTAGTCCAGGTAGATGCGATTGTGACCTTCAGAAATGTTCCGTGGCACTTTGCGGCGACCCGGCAACGATCCACGAAACTTTTTCTTGCGCTTGTTTCTCCTCGAGCCCTCAAGAAGACCAGCAATGATGAAGAGGTCGTCATCATCAGATTCATCCTCTTCATCCCACCCTCGACGAGCTCTAGTTCCAAACCTTGACATCTGCCATAGCAATAAAAATAAGAATAGAATATCTGAGGTTCACTCCTTGAACTCATATACATACATGACTATGACGAAAATAAGAATATGAGACTATAGATGCTGAAAACAAAATTAGGAATTAAACTGTGCATAGTAGAGAAGTACTTCAATTATCACTTCTGTACATGCCTCTCATCATCCTTTAAATAAATCCAAGCACATTTTCAAACAAAAGAAAACAAATCCAAGCAGAAAGGTGTTCTAGCTAGTACCAAAAGCTACTACCATGGTCTTTCCTGAGTAAGGTAAACGGCTGCCTTATGTCTAGTTAACCACCGCTTCACATTTCATAGCTAGCCACAGGCTCATAGCTGAATGATAGTAATTCAATTTAACCTCGTCAAAGTGGAAAATAGAATATATTCCCCAAAAAAATACAGAAAAAACAAATAGGAATGGCCATCTAATCAGCCTAGAAATTGGGCACTACAGTACTCACTACGTATCACAAAGACATGTAGTATGTCATGTAATCTACTAGTGATGCAGTGCAAAGAAAGGTTGAATCTTTAAGAATCTGTGGAATGCTTAGAAGAAGGTAGCCAGTACCAGGGGAGACGCAGGTGCGTCGCGGGCGGCGGCCCAAGAGACGCGGAGCATGAATCGCGCGAGAGGGGGCTGCTCCTTGGCCACCCGGCCGGGCTCCGGGAAGAGGCGCACGAAGATGGAGCGGCTCTTCTCCACCGAGGGACGCGGCTGGGACGGCGCAGCGCGAGGGCGTCGTGCGGCGAGGTGGTTCGGGCGGTCGACGTCGAGGCGGGTTCGCGTGGCGAGGAGCAGGCAAGCGCGGCGCCGCTTCTTGGCTGGCTGGCAGTGGGTGGGCGCGCGTGGCGCGGGAATGGGCGTTCTTGGGCTGGATAGGGTCTTGGGCTGGAGTTGGAAGCAAATTTGGGTCCCTATTTTTTGTAGGCCAGCATGCAAATGAAAAAAAATAGGGGCCCAATTTGCATGCTGGGCTGGAGTTGCTCTAACACCTGGTAACCTGGATGTACCGTTTATGCAACCAAGGTATATCCAGTGTGATATACATGAAGAAAATTTGAGGCGAGCACACGAACTACTACTAATAGTACTACTTATGGGATGAAATTAATGGCATGAAATTAAACATCATACACGACGATATAGGAGTAGTACGTCTGGCGAAGGAATATAATGGAGCTGAAGAGATGGACGGTTGAGTGTTGGGTGGAAACAGGGAAAAATATGCAGGAGCATCCCACTTTCGTCGACAGGGCAGGTTTGCATTTGCGCAGCAGCAGGGTCGATCGGATCGGAGACGAGCGAGGAGCAAGCAGAAAGAGGTTCAGGTTCAGGTTCTCTGAATGCGTCGCTGTCGTCGCCTGCGTGCGGATCCGATCCATGGATGCTTGGCATTTGCCATTGCCAGTGCCAGGATCGATCGATGGTCCACCACCCATTGTCATCACGTACACCACCAAATTAAAGCTACAAGAAGTTAGACTAATCTATTAATTTTATTCTATCACCAGTCGCATTACTGTGTATTATATATATATAAAGAAAAAAAGAAGCTACATACTAATCTACTAGTAAGAGCAGTCGATCCACTTGCTTAGATTTGAGCTCGTGACACAATTACCTAGCTACATGGCTGCAACTTGACACAACTCATTCCGGCCGGTCTAGCTAGCAAGACTTGAACGTTGACCAAAAGCTAAGCAGGCAGGCAAGAAACTAACTAGATAGGCCCCAGCTATAGGCTATAGCTAGGTACGGTCCAAGCCACAAGACTGCCTAACTAGCTAGCTCTTCTTCTTCTTTTTCTTCCTTATTGCATGTACTGTCAAAAAAGACTAGCTAGCTTTTCTTCTTCTTTATTATGTATCACAATACTATGATTTTCTATCGGTGCTAGCTAATCAATCATCAGCGGGCATTGGTTATGTTAGCTGCTGGCCAGCAGGCATGTCAATCCCTGCGTGCGTGCGCGCTGCGGCCTGAAATTGTGTTGCGTTAATTAACCCAGCAGCAGTCAGCAGAGAACACATCATCTCTCAGCTAGCTGTGTAATTAATAATTGTTACTAACTGTTAATACATGCATGCACGTTGCTTAATTATTTCTTCACACCCCAAATCAAAGGACCACATTACTTACTTTATTGTAGTACTATATATGGATACTCAGAGATAGCCGCCACAGCAATCAGCACCTACCCCTTGTTTTGATCTGAGCTTGTAGTTTATGTATGATATGATGCATCGGCATAGGCATACGGCATACCACGCGCTCACTACAAACACCTGCAAGTGCACCCCAAATAACTGAACATGTAAGACAACACTAGTGTACACACATCGTTAATTATAGGCCTCTGCTACTGCAGGTGCAACGAATCTGGCCATCTGAGAGAGAGAGCGGAGAAACAAAGAAAAAGATCCATGGAAAGGTCCCTGGTTGCACAAAATATATACGGCATCCGATTATTATCAGCTTGCATATATATGCATGCTCTTCAACAATTGTTGCTACCATGCACTGATACATTGACTCACGTGGGCTTTTGGCATTTCTTTACTACCCACTCATGGACTTTTGTTACCCTTTTTATGCGGGCTAATAAACTGTAAAATAATGTGGATAAATATACTGTAATAATGTCCGGTCAGGAAAATAGCTGAGCTCACTTTACATGGTGCACTGTACCTACAATGAAAATCATCTACTTACGCTTGTGTTTCGCTTTCCATCAAACAAATAGCTAGTTGGACAGTGTGTAATGTAACACCAAATCATCTACTTACACAATGCTTGTTTGTTTTTTAAAATTTATTTCAAGATTCAGCAACGCTCTCCTTTCATTGCTAAATGACGTACTCATTGACAGCGAGAAGCAGGGGCAGAGGGAGGGGGCTAGGGTGGGCCTACCACATCCCAACAACTTTCTAATTACTCTACTAATCCCTCATTAGCTCTAGATGAGATTTTTTTGCCATTTTTTTTAAACCATCAGTGTTAGTTTTAGATGGTTGGGAGATAAGCATTTGACTCAAGTTTGTAGTAAGGAAAAAAGAAGTTTCTAATTTGCAAGCGATTCAAAAAGCATAACAAGGATTCTGGTGGTTTTCTTTTCCCCTGTTTTCTTTTGTCTGTACTCTGTATTGTTGTGTTGCTTCCTTTTCCTTTCCTTTGACCTCCTGTTTGTGTTTGGGACGACCGAGCAGAGGCAGAGGCAGAGCAGTATAAAAAGAGGCGCGCGCGCGATTGTTTCCAGCCACCACTTCATTTCAATTTCAATTTAAATTCAACTAGGACTAGCCGACTTCCGTGGAGTTCCTACTATTAGTATATACTAGGAGCAGCAGGCAGCATCGTCTCATGGTGAGCAGCACCTCCCACTCCCAGAATTCAAACAGCTCCCCGCCGCCGCCGCCGCCTGTGCACCTCAGCACCGGCATCGTCGGCTTCCTCGCCCGGCGTGCCGCCATGACGACGCGTCACCCATCATCCTTCCAGTTCCAGCAGCCCCGCGTGGCAGTGGCACCGCTGGACTCGCCGGGCTCCTCCACCGGCTCTGTCGACTCCTCCGCGCCGTGGAGCTTCATGGCTCAGCAACAGCACCGCGCGCCGCCCGCCCCCGTGCTCCCATTCGACAGCAACGACACCGACGAGGTGGCGCTGCTGGACATGATCTCCGGGCAGCGGCAGTTGCAGGAGGAGGCCGGCCTGGCCCTGGCAACGTCGACGCAGGAAGAAGCAGAGGCGAATAATGGCACGGGAACCATGGGGCCTGGCGGGCGGCCCTACCGCGGGGTGCGCAAGCGTCCGTGGGGCAAGTTCGCGGCGGAGATCCGGGACTCGACGCGCAACGGCGTGCGCGTGTGGCTGGGCACCTTCGACAGCGCCGAGGCGGCGGCGCTGGCGTACGACCAGGCAGCGTTCGCCATGCGTGGCGCCGCCGCCGTGCTCAACTTCCCCGCGGAACGGGTCCGCCAGTCCCTGGAAGGAATGGGCATGGGCACGGGCGTCTGCGCCGGCTCTGGCTCGCCCGTGGTGGCGCTCAAGCGGCGGCATTCTATGCGGATGCGGCGTCCAGCGAGCCGGAGCCGGAAGGCCAAGGCGGCGACAAGGAGCGAGGTGATGGAGCTGGAAGACCTCGGAGCAGACTACCTGGAGGCGCTGCTGGGCGCCACTGCCACCGAGGAGTCGTCGTCGTCATCTTGGTGCCGGAGCCACCACTCCATCTGAATCTGATCACTTGCTACCTCTGCCTAGGCATGCAAGTCAAGAACGATAAGTGGTGGCTAGCATTACCAATGGGCAAATAGCTACTCCTTGCTAGATACATCATCCATGGAGTTGTTTGGAGTAGAAGAGGGCTAAACTAGACAGTAAGGTTTTGTTTGGGTTGAAGAGACGAGCTTGATCAAGTTACATGTTTTGTTTTGAGGCGCGGGGCGGCGCCTGCTTGCGCCCCGTTAGCTTCGTTGAAAAAATAAGTTGAAATACTGTTCCGACTGATTTGCTGTGAGAAAAAAACACTATTTCAGCTGAAAAAACTGATTATAAAAGAAGCGAACGGAGCCTTAACGAGAAACGTTCTCGAAACAGAGGGAAAGAAAAGAAAAGGGTTTACGAAGCACAAACTTCCGGACGAAAAACATGCTTAGGCACGTTCGCGAAGAAAAAAAAAACTTTAGAACACTAAATGACAGGTGTTTGTGTTGTATTAAAATTATCTTTTGCGTTGTCTTGCACGTGTTTTTTTTCCCTTAGAGGGGGAGCATGTTTGTGTAGGAAATATTGGTTGGCATGAAGGGTCCTGGATGGAATTCATGGGCAAGATGTTAGACAAGGAACGGAAGCATTATACTTGGGACTTTCAAAGGGTCAATGGGTCTCCCCCGTGGAATTTGAGTAGGGCCTTGTTAAGGTGTCATCCAAATTTTAAGTTTTTTCACTCTCTCTCCATCACATTAATTTTTAGCCGTTTGTATGGAGTATTAAATGTAGGTAAAAAAAATAACTAATTATACAGTTTAGTTGGAAATCACAAGATGAATTTTTGAGCCTAGTTGGAACACGATTGAACAATATTTGCCAAATAAGACGAAAGTGGTACTATTTATTAGGTTAAAATTTTTTGCAAAGAGAACCAGGCCTAGCTAATAATTTGGGCGGAATCGACTCCACGTGAGAGAGAGAGAGAGGGGCATGGCATGACCAGGTCAAGCCGTCAGCCAGCCAAGAAAACAGTACTAGTACTGTGGATTGGAGACACGTGCTGGCAATGGCCATTGGCAACTTCCAGTATTTACCGAGACCAGTATTTGGCACTGTAGTATTTTTGTTTATATTTGATAATTATTATTTAATTATGGTCTAACTAGACTCAAAAGATTTGTCTCGTAATTTACAATCAAACTATGTAATTAGTTATTTTTTATCTATATTTAATACTCATACATATGTCCAAAGATTTGATGTGATGAAGAGAGAGTGAAAAAACTTACAATCTAAACAAGGCCTGTGCCTCGTTTAGATTACAATTTTTTACAATCTGGACATTGTAGCACGTTTTGTTTGTATTTGACAAACTTTGTCCGATCATGGACTAACTAGGCTCAAAAGATTTGTCTTGTGATTTACAACCAAACTGTGTAATTAGTTACTTTTTTATCTACATTTAATGCTCCATACATACCGTCAAAAATTGATGTGATAGAGAGTAAAAAAACTGAAACTTTAAGGCAATCTAAACGAGGCCCTGATTTGTCGGCAGGTTATCATCCATCCCATCCGGTGGGTCCAGCGAGGTACAATGAATCTGCTTGCTACGCCTATCGAATATACCATCACCCCGATCGATCCACCTAGCTACTTTTCCACGCCTTGCTCGTCTTTTATTTATTCCGTCGTCGTCGTCGTCATCTACAAAAAAGTTTCCATGGCTAGCTTTTACAAGGCAGGAAAAACAAAGTCTCAACCCTGACACAAGTCTTTGTTTCTTCTGTAGGAGTATACTCCTATCTACAACCACGTACACCTCCACCTAGCTAGCTGTCCAACTAAATTCTCATATATACCACTAAAAAAGACAATTAACCCAAAGCACCTCCTATCCTAGTATATATACGGCAGTATATAAATAAATAAATGCTTCTAATCAGACTTACCCCATCCACTCTACAATTAGAAAAAAGGATGGTCTATTGGCACAAAATACTTGAGATACCTGCCTCTAAAATATGATTCAAATCCCCCTCTTCTTGTCTGTCTAAGGGGGGAAAAAAAAGAAGTTAATTTTTATTCCGCAATTTGCGATCACCGATCACTCTCCACTACATAGAGGAAATAAGACATTGCTACCGGCTGTTTCTGCAATAAAATAGACTAGACTAGAATACATATACAATAGGATGCGAGGATGATAGAAAGGTCACGTTCACGTGAGCAATAGAGAAGCAACAGCAGCACGCACCCAGTCAGTCCATGGCCACGCATGCGCATCAAAAGTGACCAGATGCAGATGAATGTACTGCACCAAGCAAGATATAAGCTCACCACCGCCTCAGCGCTCTGCCTGCCTAACCACATTCGGAAATCGGAACGGACTCGCCGGCCGCTTCACCAACTGGTCGCTGTCTTCTCATCTCAAACTCACCTCGCTCAGAATGAAAACCAACCTTAAGCCTAATCCACATCCACTGCATGCATGCTACCTCTTTTGCTATATGACCCATCCGTAGTTTGCCTTCTAAGAAACATCATACTAGCTACGGCCTAGTATACATATCCATTGGATGTACATGATTCACATCCCAATATAGATACGGAGCGGTACAAGCTACATATCATTATCGTACTAGCTACCACCATATATATATATATATATATACATCCACCCCTTTAACCACTGCAAGTTGTAGACAGCCGAATAAACAAAATTGTTCTGGCTTGTTGGTCCAACAAATTAAGGCAACTAGTATGGAAGATGCATGCACTAGCTTTGCTAAAACAAATCACACGTATGCATGGTATATGCATAGATACAAGACAGTGCTAAAGAAGCAAAGCAAATCGATGGAATATATATATCATACATATCATGGGCTGCAAGCAAGCTAAATGTCATATATACGCACTCTGCATTCACACAATTTAGAGTGAGAGTGACCGCGGCTATCAGGCCAGTGCATTACACGGCAACCCCGGTCAGGGTCAGCCATCCTCAAATACAGGTGGTGCATGAACCTGCACCTGCCTCTGCCTGCCTGCCTGCATTCTTGGACCTCCTTTATCTCCTTCCTCCCTCAGAGGTCAGAGCCGGGTGGATGCCAAAAGAGCCCGCCTCAGCAATGCCGTAGCACTGCTAGCGTACGTGTGACGGCAAACATTAATTCACACAATTGCAACACTTCCAGCACTGCAGCATATTTAATTACAAGCTAAAGGGGGTGCTTGATTTGAGAAATTTGTTACCTAGCTAGGCGGTCCGTCATGATTTCATCCCCCCATGAATTCTGCAAACATCACCGATCTTTCTACAAACATACAACAGCCAAATGCTATACCTCTCTCGCCCTATGGGCTATGGCAAGCATTACAAGGGATCCAAGGTGCTCATTCTATCTATCACATACTCCCATCCCATGCATGCGCTTCAACCTACCTACTTGTTAGATTGCATTGGTCAGCTTCTGGGAACTGCTTGTCCTGCTCCTTTCTCGCTCAGGCTTAACTGCTTCAGCTCCCTCAGTGCCACTGTAACAAGCTAATAATCAGTCACCATATTAGTGTTAGTTTCCAACAAAACCCTGTCAAATCACGAACAAATAGGTTAGCCATGATAACCTCATGCGCCTTCTCCAACCAAACAAACATGCCTACTCATCTTGTTCCAACGACCCTGCCAGCTGAATTCTACAAAATCAAGAGTGCGTCTCCAGTTCTCTACCATTGACCCATTCCTCTAATGTAACTAAACATTCTCCATACAGTGACAACTGCTATGATTTAATTCACAACTGCGGCATGGCAGCTGTTGTAGACCTGATTAATGATCTTATTTGAGTATATCAATCACTAGTTAACTGGAAAGCAAGTGTTCCATATTTTCAAATGTTCACTTCAGATTTTGTGGTGCAAATTGAAACCTAGTCATTTATGTGCCCAGTGCTCCAGTATCCAATGTATACACTAACCAAACAATATTAGTATATTTCCCCCTCTGTTCCAAATTATAAGTCGTTTCGGCTTTTCTAGGTACATAGATCTTGCTTTGCACCTAGACATATGTTATGTCTAAATATATGGCAAAGCAATGTATCTAGAAAAGCCAAAACGACTTATAATTTGGAATGGAGGGAGTACTAAGCAAGTCAACTTATTCTTTAAAAATAAAATCAAAACTGCAAGGAAAAATGAATTCACCAAGCAAAAGTAGATGAAGCTAAACATATCAATACTCACCCTATTGGAAGCTCCAAATTCTAATCTGGGGCTTCTCCGAGGCTCCGAATTTGGATTTTGGGAGTACGCTGGAGTGCTCTGGAAAATTGAAGGCTGATTCTGGTTCTGTAGATACGCAGAGCCGCCATGGACAATGGACGGCACATTGCCATCAACTGAACTGCTATCACCATTGCTTCCCCAGGATTGCTCTTGTGTACCAGTTTCACTACTAGTAGCAGCTTTGTGATCCTTCTTTGAGAATTGAGTGGCTGCAGCTCGAGCCCCTGCTATTGCGGCAGTAACACTTGCAGGGACCTTGAACAGGTGAAAAGGCCCTCACAGCGGAACTTGACAGGCAGTGGACCTTGAAAAGGTGAAAGAAGAGGGCCCTCACAGCCCCATCATCATAGATCTGCGAGATGGCAAGCAGAGCAGATTCCAGAGTTATGAGTACAAGCAAAAGGTGGAAATAGGAGGAACTGCTTATGCCAACCAGGACTGAACTCACCCTTCTTTCTAAATTGTAGACGCCCTGGTAACCACGCATCTCGAATGGAACCACCAACTTCTGCATAAATTCATGCAAGCAGGAATGTCACGGACAAACAAAGATGCCAGCGGTTATGGTATATGTGCTAGCTAGGAGGAGGAGGAGTAGCTAGAGTCAAAGCATGTCAAACTCACCTGCGGATTCTCACAGAGCCAACAAAAGTCAGTCAGCCCTTCAAGCCTGACCTGCATTTGAGAGTAGGATGTTGCATCATGAGCTAAGTAAAATGCATTGCAGGTAAAATGGTACTGGAGCAAAGGAAGAGAAATTGGAGAGTAACAGAACATACAGACTCAGGAACGTGTTCCCAGCAAACAAGCTCGTCAGACCTGAGGCAGCCTACCACCTCAACACAGCCTGTGGTGGAACATATTAGCACATAAAAGCAAAAAAACGGAATGGTAGAAGATGAGATGCAGTTTTTCATGTCCCAGGTCAACAACTTCATCTAGGATGATGTGATGCACTTTCTCTGGTTGTAAATATAAGTCCATCTAGGTTTATCCAAGGTAAACTTTTTATGTTTTGACCATCAAATCAAAATATTTTTTTTTCTTGAACACCCAGGAGAGCTGCGTATCATTATATTAAGAAGAAAAAAGGGGTAAGAACCCTTACAACACCACACACACTTACGATCCAAAAATATGCGCGCCACACAAACACATTGACCAACCACAACCTCTAACACTGACAAATTAACCTCGTGCCCCGGCCAAATCCCAAAAGTGTAACTCCTCTACAGCTAGCATCAACGCACGAGAAACACTAGGAGAAGCACCAAAGTTTACAGTATAGATTGACAGTACAAGATTGACAGTCAGCCAGTGTGGAAAAAAAAAAATATCACTCTTTTCACTCGAGATGTTATGTTTTTAAAGATGTTGTTAGTCAAAGTCAGAAAATATTAATTGGGACAACTTTGGACAGATTACATTTGTGATTGAAGGAAGTAGCCAGAGCAGGCGTGTCCTATAGTAACTGGGAGAGAAGACAGAAGACAAGGCATACGAGTGCTAACCAAGGAGGCGCGAGACAGGGTAATGATCAGGGAACTTGATGTCAGTGATGTCATTGACGGCATAAATCTCCCTATAGAAATCCTCCATGGCTTTGATGGTGTCGGGGTCAGGAACCTTGGATGCTGCGTGAATCCACAGGCGACCTGGGAGGGAAGAGATGGAACTGAATCTTACTACTTACTTATTCAAATCCAAACCAAAATCAAAAGAGGGGAAGGGAAGGCGCAGACCTGTGATCGGGGACGGCCATGAGCGGCCCTCAACACGCTTGATGCCGTGCACCAGCAGCGACGCCCACGGCTGGTGCATCGTCAGGCAAGGGTTCCCGTGGTATCCCCTGCCATCATTACTGCGGCTGCCGTTGCGGCTGCTGCTATGGCGGCCGCTAGCGAAACCACCGCGGCCCGAGTACCCGCCACGCATGCTGTTGCTAGTGGCGATCCCGCCTACTGCGTCCTCCGTCCGCCACGCATGGCCTAGGGTTTGGCTCAATCTGGAGAAGGATTGAAGGAAGCTAGACGAGACCGAAAAGGGGAGAAACAGGAACCATCAATCAGATGGAAAGAAAAGACGCTTTCAGCTACGTGTCATTAAAAAAGTTTGAAATTACGCACGAGCTATTAAAAAAAGTTAAACCTCCACGAGTGTCATCGTTCAAAACTTCTTTGCTCTCCGAGCTATTCCGTCCGCTTTTCTATTTAACGATGTCAAACAAACAGGTGAAATAACCATTTTACCCTACAATGTGGTCCGTTTGTCAGCCACCTAAATTTTCTCTTTTTCTCTCTTTCTCTTGCGCCTCCATTCCGCACTCCTCGTGCTTCTGCTCGTCGTCGCGGCGCTGGCGGGGGCCGACGACCTCGCGAGCGACACGCGGGCGCTCTTGGCGTTCCGTGACGCCATGGGGCGGGCGCCTAGCATGGAACACCTCGGACGCCGCGGGCACGTGCTCGTGGACGGGGTCTCCTACGAGAATGGCCGCATGGCGGTGCTGCGGCTCCCCAGGGCGACGCTCTCAGGGACGGTCCCCGCAAGGACGCTAGGGAATTTGACGACGCTCCACACGCTCAACCTCCGCCTCAACGGGCTCTCCGGCGCGCTCTCGGCCGACCTCGTCTCCGCTGCCGCGCTTCGGAACGTCTTCCTCAACAGGAACAGGCTGTCGGGCGAGTTCCCGCAGGCGATTCTCACGCTCCCGGGGCTCATTAGGCTCTCGCTCGGCAGGAACGACCTGTCGGAGCCCATCCTGACGGAGCTCGGCAACCTCACGCACCTCAGGGTCCTGCTCCTTGAGAATAATCGCTTTTCCGACGAGATTTCGGATGTGAAGCTACCGCTGCTGCAGCAGTTCAATGTTTTGTTCAACCAGCTGAACGGATCCATCCCGGCCTCACTTTGATCGCAGCCGTGCTCCGCATTCCTGGGGATGGGCTTGTGCAGCGGGCCCTTGGGGCCATGCCCTGGCGAGGTTTCCCCTTCCCCTGCTCCAGCGGGGCAGACGCCGTCGCCGACGTCTGTTCCCAGTGGCAGTGGCGGTGGCGGCAGCACCAACGGTGGAAGTGGGGGGAGAAAGTGGCTGCTGGAGCGGTTCGAGCTCGGGGAGGAGACGTGCCTACCGTACGTGCAGCACTACATCCCGCCGTCGCGTGACCTCGAGTCCTCCCGCGCTGAGGCCGAGCTCGTCATCTTCTCTGCCATCGATGACATGCTTGCCAAGACCGGCTACCGCGAGCGCGCTCAGGGGGGAGCTCCTCCCTAGCCGCCATGGGTGCGAGTGGAGGGCAGCTCCGCCCCGGTCGCCCACGGGCGCGGGCGCAAACGAGCTCTGCCCGGCCGCCGTGAGCACGAGCGCGGGCGAGCGAGTTCCGCCCCGGTGCGGGCGCGGGGGAGCGAGCTCCACCCCGGCATCGGTGCGCGCGCGAGGCTAACACGCGGCGAGAAGGAAGGTGGAGCTGGGTCGCTGATAGTTTGGCCCCACTAGACAGAGAGAGAAGCAAGAGGATAGGACAAGAGATGGGTATTTTGGACGTTTACACTGACCAGACCCATATGTAAGGGCTGCCAAACGGTAACAAAACAAACAGAACACAGACGGAATGGCTTGGAGAGCAAAGAAGTTCAGAACGATGGTACTCGTGGGAGCTCAACTTTTTTAATGATTTATGCGTAATTGCAAACTTTTTAAACGGGGCACGTGTAAAAGCCTCAAAGAAAAACAGGAACCATCAATCGATCGAGAAGGGGTACAATTGGCCAGCTCTCGACCACAAACGTTGTTTTAACGGGCTCAGGTCATACAGTCGGCCCATGTATAGGAGAGAGAGAGGGGAGCCTCATCAACTATGTTGAAGAAATAGAAAATGGGTTCAATTACTGGAACACCCCGTCCAATAACCATGAAAATAGAAATAGAAAATGGGGCTCTCCCAATACTTGATTATAGTGTGTGTGTATATATATATATATATATGACGAGGCTAAAATGCACCTGGGTGCATTCTGTGCAGCAAATGCACCTGACCGCGAGCGAGAGCGAGAGACGTATCGGCCCAGACCAGACTCCACGCGTACCGCACAGCAGCTGGTCCTCGCATTAACAAACTCCAAGTTCGTGCATGCAAAAAATAGATGGAGGCAACCAACCATGTGATGCCACATCACATGTTAACCCACCAACCAGGAAGCATGCATGCAGGGAATCTTTTCTTAATTCGAAATGAAAAAATATGATATCTCATAAACGACAGATCCGATTTTACATCTATTTGAACTAGTTTGTTGAAAAAAATGTGCTTAACAAAACGAGATCCATGAAAGCTATATTTGACGAAGTTTTTTTAAAGTATGTAGTTGCATCTGTGTTATAGCGTGAGTTGCAAGCACAACTACAGTATAATTGCATCTTGGTTGTAGCCTAAGTAGCACTGCTTGCAACTAGTTATAACCTGGTGTAACCCGGTTACTTCTAGTTGCAATTAGTCACTATTCTGTTGCAACACAATTACTACATTGATTGCAACCAGATACGCTTGCAACTCCTGCTGAATAGTGAGCAGATGCAACCAGATATAATTGCAACTTGACATGATTATAGTGAGCAGATGCAAATAATACATCGAGTTATAACTAGTTGCAACTCAGTAGTAGACAAAGTTGCAATCGCTACTACACAAATATGGAACTTGTTTAAAAGATAAAAAAAAATATACACATATTAGATCTAGTTTTGTTAAGCATATTTTTCTGAGTACAACACAACAAACGGTATATATATATATATATATATATATATATATCCTTGATCTCAACTCGCATCCCTCCCATGTTTTCTTACTTCCTTGTTGCTTCTGTTGCGTCCTCTCTTTCGCGCTCACTTATTAGGGTTTGTTTGGATTGAGGCATGTTAGGCAATGCCTGGCCATGCAAGCAATCCTGGCCCTAGACGTCTAAAATCAAACACCTAGGAGCTATTCTTGGCCAAGTTTACGAAGATTCATTCCAAACGAGCCCTTATTCACTCATGCCCCCGGTTGCTTATCATATACTCCCCATATTCCAATTACTACACAACAAGGTATATATTATGTCTAGATATATAATAAAAGACTTTGACTATATGTGTAGAAAAGTCAGAATAATTAACTTGAAAAATTGAACCGGAGGGAGTACTTACAGTGAAGCAGGGATCACGTTGGCAAATAACTAAATCCCTGTTCGTTTCGTTGAAATTTAGCTTATGCTGATTTGTCGTGAGAGAAGTAGTGCCGAAGAACCGGACGTAAAAGGTTCCGGTCTTAGCTTTCTTTAATTTGCTTTTATATATGCATTGCCAGCTCATGAGGTTGGTTGGACGATATGTCGTAATTCCATTTCCCCTCCTGCTTTAGTTATGCTCTGAGCTCCTCCGTGGTGGAGCTAGTATCTTGGTAGAGAATCTGTGATGGGTGGCGTGGTGGCGGTGAGGATCGGTCGATGGGAGAAAAGGCTAAGGCAAAGTAGTAAAGGTAACCTGGTCGCTGCTTGGTGCTCCGAGTCCGATCCATCCATGCATGCATCGCCCATGGATCGAGTGTTGTGTGGATGGATTTGATGCTGCAGAGGCCGAAAGTTTTGATTCTGTGCGTAGAGACGATGCTGTCTTGTGCGTGCTCGGTACCTAGGGACGGACGGACGGTTCACGGTTCTCCTCCTCTCTGACTAGTGGCTACTCTCTCTTTCCCCGTGTCTCGTACTCCTGCTATATATGGAACAAGATCGTCAATCAATCATGCATGCAGCACTGGACACGATCACACGAATAGGAATAGGAATACTGGCCAGCTAGCTAGGACTAGGACTAGCACTTGGGCCTCATCACGGTGTAGACTATTAGAGTAGGAGACTGAAGGAGAAGCAGCAGCAGGATCGTCCGTCCTACGTACGACGATCGAGGATGGAGATGAGCCGCGCTGCTGTGGACGACATCATCCGCCGCCTCCTGCTCCAGGACACGCGGCGCAGCCGCCCGGCGGGGAACAAGCAGGCGCAGGCGCAGCTGGGCGAGGGTGAGATCCGCAGCCTGTGCGCCGCCGCCAAGGACGTGTTCATGCGGCAGCCCAGCCTGCTGGACCTGGACGCGCCCATCAGCGTCTGCGGCGACGTGCACGGGCAGTACCGTGACCTGCTCCGCATCTTCCACGCCACGGGTGGGTTCCCGCCACGGAGCAAGTACCTGTTCCTGGGCGACTACGTGGACCGCGGCGACCAGAGCCTGGAGACCATCTGCCTGCTGCTCGCCTACAAGGTCCGGTACCCGGAGCACTTGTTCCTCCTCCGGGGCAACCACGAGTGCGCCTCCATCAACCGCATCTACGGCTTCTACGACGAGTGCAAGCGCCGCTACAGCGTCCGCCTCTGGCGCCTCTTCTCCGACTGCTTCAACTGCCTGCCCGTGGCGGCGCTGGTGGACGGCCGCGTCCTGTGCGTGCACGGGGGGCTGTCCCCGCACCTGCGCAGCCTTGACCAGATCCGACGCCTGCCCAGGCCCTGCGACGTGCCCGAGGAGGGCCTGCTCTGCGACCTGCTCTGGTCCGACCCTTCCCCCCAGGACAGCGGGTGGGCGGACAACGAGGACCGCGGCGTCTCCTGCACCTTCGGCTCCGACGTCGTGGCGGACTTCCTCCGCAGGCACGACCTGGACCTCGTGTGCAGGGCGCACCAGGTGGTGGAGGACGGATACGAGTTCTTCGCCGACCGCCAGCTCGTCACCGTCTTCTCCGCGCCCAACTACTGCGGCGAGTTTGACAACGCGGGCGCCGTCATGAGCATCGACGCCGACCTCGTCTGCTCCTTCACCGTCATCAAGCCGGAGACGACGGACAGCGGGAAGAGCAGCAGGAGCAGGGGCAGGGGCATCTCCTCCGCCGGCCTGGGCCGCAGCTCATCAGCACCACCACCAGCGCCTGCGCCGCCTGCAAGTTCCAACAGAAGCACGAGGAAGGGGCTCCTGCGATACTGGTAATTACTAAATTACTGGCGGAAGAAAAGAAAAGAAAAAAAAAGAGTGAAGCAAAGCAAGCAGGGCCATTCGATTCGGTTTTCCTGTGGCGATGGATCAAGAAGCTGCACTGCAACTCTGCAAAAAGCATGCACCACACCGCGTTAATTATGCTAGCTGCTGATGCCACTTTAATTAACTACTAATTTTCTTTTAGGAGGAACAGAGCTTTATTTATTACTCGGGAGCAAGGCGGGTTACAGTTGAATGTCTTAGATCTCCAAACAGTTGAATGTCTTGTATGTGTAGCAAATTGTGCGAGCGCATGAGCTGCGGAATTACACTTTCTTTTCGTGTGGACTATCTTCCATGCACTCTGGGATTCTCTCTCCACCTTCACGTGCCTCTCTGCTGATCAAATCCGTCGACGACTGGGCGATGATAGCATGCTTACCATGCATTGTGGTACAGTCTGTTTCGACGATTATTTCGCCGCAATTTCAGTTCCATCACAGCGCGCTAACGCCACCACCTCCTCACCTCAGTGCTTTTCCACATTTCTGATGCATCGTCAGGACAGTTCTTCACCGCGAACTATCACTCAAGTCTTTTTGAAAGTAAGTCTTGCTTCTCCTATTTCAATAACAAAAGCGCCGTCAGTATCTACCTATACCCACCCATCGCCATCACAGTACACCTCTTTCCTTCACCAAGTGACCTTCCTTTACCAGTGAATCGCATACCAACGCTTTCCCTTTTACATCAAATGGAACACCTTTGTCTAATCCCGCACAATTCACTCAAATACCTTCTTAAAAATGCCGCCAAACCAACATAAGAAGTTTTTTTAGTATTATGGTTAGGTTGCTGTTCACTTGCCACGTTCGCTACATGACGGACCTAACACCCATGCTCCACGGTCCATTCTAAAATCTAGCGAAGCGCACAACACAGACTGTTTGGATGTTGCCTGCCACGTAGCAATCATCCACCCCAGACTTAGGAAATCGGATGCCTGAGGATGCTGTCTGACCAGGCAAATTTTCCAGGACAACATCCAAACATGCCCAACATGTTGTGTGCTGAGAGTTGGATGAAGAAGCATGCGCCGCCGCTAGCTACTGATGTACTTATTACGATTTAATTAATTAATTATCCACACGCGGGCCGTGTGTTGTCAACTCAATTATATGTCTCTCCCGTGTGTCTCGTGCCTCTAGCAGCATACGATAGCTTAGCCAGGTAGGTGTTGGTGGCTCTTGCTTGCGGTCTCGATGAAAATAGTGGCTTCTCCTAGCTCCCGCTCACACCAGTGGACTCTAGCGCGTGCGAAAGTCCGGATTTGGCCTCGCGCGAGGAGGGACATCGGTGCATAAGTGTGCGGGCTCGCCCACTAGGGATGGCGGGCTCGACCATAGCTGTTGGGGCATAGGCGCGGGCACACGGATGCCGAGGCGCATGAGCGCATGGCTGCTAAGTCCTGCTTTGATTTAAGTAACTAGGTGATAACTTTATGTTGATTCACCAGGTTTCACGTGAGATGATCATGTGATTAGTCCACAAACTAGGTTGAGCAACATGTTGGTCATTATATGGAGATATGGCATGTTGAATATGGAACATTGGCCATCCTGGGTGCTGGGACAGTTGTGTCGCTAATGCTGTGGGTAGGGCGTCCATTTCGTCCGAACACGCGTTGGTGGGCCTCGACGCCCGAACCGCCCAACAGGCAACACTGCCATCCACATAGAAATAAAAACAAAAATCGTCGCTCTCACCTTCTTCTCGAATCGCCGCTGTTTTCCCACCCATTCTCGAACCAACTCTCCGCTTCTGTATCGTCACGGCTTACCCCACTACACCCGCACCGCCGCGCCGCAATGCAGCGGCGTGCTACACCACGCTCGAGTGCCACCGCCTGCTTTCCTATCTCCCCACCACCACTCACCACTCGCCGTCGAGTTCTTCGAGCCAACATGGCATGGTCCACAACGACTGCTCAGGTGCGGCGTTCTTCACCACGCCCAGCCGCTTGCTTGTCGCCATGCATCCTCCCTCTCCACTGTACCGCCGGCGGCGCCATGTGTTTGTTTCAGGTGTGTTTCAGAAGTTGTTTCCAAGTGTTTCATCTATATGTTGCGTATGTTGCAATGACTATATACGTATGTTGCAGGTATATGTTTCGAGCGTTTCGGTTGTTTCATACGTATGTTTCACGCGTTTTATCTGTATGTTTCATGTGTTTCATTGTTGTTGCTAAAGGATCTGATGTTGCATATGTTGCAATGGCTACACACGTATATTTCAAGTGTATGTTCCACATGTTTCATCTGTTTTAGATGTATGTTGCAAATCTATGTTCCAAATGTTTCAGCTATTTCAGACGCATGTTTCATATGTTTCATCTAGATTTGCAATGACTGTACAAGTATGTTTTAATAGTATACTGCATATGTTGCAACGGTCAAATGGATGTTGCAGAGGAGATGACACGTTAGGACGGGGGGAGGGGCGCGGCCGAGACAGAGCGCGGTGGGGATGGTGCCGTGGCAGGGATGGTGTCACGGCGAGAGGAGTGCGGCGCGGTGGGGGAGGAGCGCGGTGTGGCGGGGGAAGGAGCGCGGCGAACTTGACGCTGGGGGCGCAACCGGGATGGGGAGCGAGTTGCGGATGGTCGGACGCGGTAACTGGCGTGGGATCGGTAGCGGCGGCTGGACGCGATTCGCTGGCGCGGGATCTTATTCGAGCGCGGGGGCGTCCGATGCGAAGTGGTTGCAGGCGTCGAAGCTGCATTTGGACGTGGCCCTGGGGCCAGACGTCTAGGCGCTAGCCCTACTGTTTCCTTCTTTTGTTTTTCCTTTTTCTCATCTAATAAAAGTCCGGCAAAGCTCTTGATGCCTTTCGAAAAAAATGTAGAACATTGAAATAGTCTCGTATGACAAGACGGTGAAGATCTAAGATTGTGCGAAGGACATTGTGCAAGTGTGAAGGAATATTAACATATATAGTTTGACCTAGTACGAATCTAGAAGGCTAGAAGCAGATATATTATGGGACGAATGAGCCAGCCAACTCTGTCTACTGGAATATGTCTAACAAATTAAAAAAAAAAGAATATCCGTAGGACACAAGAGATTCATTCCTGTCCGTGTGAATATCCGTAGGACACCACCTACTGTATGCATGCATGCGTTGCATGGATGGAAGGCGAGATCCGATCCGTGTGAACAGTGAATATGCCCGTGCCGGTGATGCATGGAGGTCGATCGGCGGTCAAAAGTAAATCCAACCTCGGCATGCAAAATGTGGAGGCCGTTGGTTCAACTGAATGGTGCGTGCATGCCACACCCCGCCGCCAGCGGTAAAATCGTATAATCTCTTTCTCGCAGCGAAAAGAAATAATTAAAACCCCTGGTTTTCCGTTTAATAGTCCAACCAAACTGCCGATTTTGTTGCTATATTCCTCATTCATTTATTTACCGAGACGTACGAGAGATCTCTCTCATTGCGTTGCGGCTTTCCATCCTTGTTATCAGTAACTAGGTTTGACCAAACAACGAACCAACGTCGTCGTCGTTCTCGACTCCGATCGATCCGATCCGATCCATCATCAGGAGCAGAGCAGAGATACCAATGGCGCGGCAGCAGCTGGAGGTGCTGAGCGCCCTGGACGCGGCCAAGACGCAGTGGTACCACTTCACGGCGATCGTGATCGCCGGCATGGGCTTCTTCACAGACGCCTACGACCTCTTCTGCATCTCCCTCGTCACCAAGCTCCTCGGCCGCATCTACTACTACCGGGAGGGCTCCCCGGATCCGGGCTCCCTGCCGCCCCACGTCGCCGCCGCCGTCAACGGCGTGGCATTCTGCGGCACGCTCTCGGGCCAGCTCTTCTTCGGCTGGCTCGGCGACAAGATGGGGCGGAAGCGCGTGTACGGCATGACGCTCATGTGCATGGTGGCGTGCTCCCTGGCGTCGGGCGTCTCCCTGGGCCGCTCTCCGGCCGCCGTCATGGGCACGCTCTGCTTCTTCCGCTTCTGGCTCGGGTTCGGCATCGGCGGCGACTACCCGCTCTCCGCCACCATCATGTCCGAGTACGCCAACAAGAAGACGAGGGGCGCCTTCATCGCCGCCGTCTTCGCCATGCAGGGGTTCGGCATCCTCACGGGCGGCGTCGTCACGCTCGTCGTCTCGGCGGCCTTCCACGCGGCGTTCCCGTCGCCGGCGTACCAGGACGGCGCGGTGCCGTCCACGCCGGCGGAGGCCGACTACGTGTGGCGCGTCATCCTCATGTTCGGCGCCATCCCGGCGCTGCTCACCTACTACTGGCGGATGAAGATGCCCGAGACGGCGAGGTACACGGCGCTGGTGGCCAGGAACGCAAAGCAGGCGGCGAGCGACATGTCCAAGGTGCTGCAGGTGGACATCGTCAGTGGTGGCGATGCCGGCGACCGCCAACACGATGAATTCGGCCTCTTGTCGTCTGAGTTTTGGCGGCGCCACGGCCTCCACCTCCTCGGCACGACCAGCTGCTGGTTCCTGCTGGACATCGCTTTCTACTCGCAGAATCTGTTCCAGAAGGACATCTTCAGTGCGATCCACTGGATCCCCAAGGCGCGCACCATGAGCGCGCTGGATGAGGTGTACCGCATCGCGCGCGCGCAGACGCTGATCGCGCTGTGCGGCACGGTGCCGGGCTACTGGTTCACGGTGGCGCTCATCGACGTGCTGGGGCGCTTCAAGATCCAGATGATGGGCTTCGCCATGATGACCGTCTTCATGCTGGGGCTGGCCATCCCCTACCACCACTGGACCACCCCGGGCAACCACATCGGCTTCCTCGTCATGTACGCCTTCACCTTCTTCTTCGCCAACTTCGGGCCCAACTCCACCACCTTCATCGTGCCCGCCGAGATATTCCCGGCGAGGCTGCGGTCCACGTGCCACGGCATCTCGGCGGCGGCGGGCAAGGCGGGCGCCATCGTCGGATCCTTCGGCTTCCTGTACGCGGCGCAGAGCAGGGACGAGTCCAAGGCGGATCACGGCTACCCCGCGGGCATCGGCGTGCGCTGCTCGCTCTTCGTGCTCGCCGTGTGCAGCCTCCTGGGGCTCGCCTGCACGCTCTTGGTGCCCGAGTCCAAGGGAAAGTCGCTCGAGGAGCTCTCCGGCGACAACCACGACCAACAACCACCGGCGCACGCAAGAACCATGCCCGTCATCGTCTAATTAATCTTCTACGGAGTACTATATATACGCTGGACCTTATTATCTTTTTATTATTTTTATTTATTTATTATTTATCGGATACTAGGATTCCTAGCTACCACCCCATATATATATATGCACCGTACGTCTACGAGAGGAGTCTGCACACTTATTATTAGCTATACGTACTCTGATTTTGTGTACGTATATACGCACTTTATGGTCTTTGATTTCAATGGTCAGGCAATTTGCATGTAGTATATCCTATATATAATCATATGCATGTTTGTTTGCACAATATATATCCGATCCGCAGCGCGATCAGATCAGCTGGCGGTACTACATATTATGGTATAATATGCCATAATAATCTTTAGCTACAGAATCCAAATAGATTATATAAATATTAATCACCTGTGGTAATGAGGTACGCGTACTCCCTTCCATCCAAATTATAAGACATTTTATTTTTTCTAGATGAATTGCCTTAACTATGTATCTACTAGACATGGTATATGCCTTAACTCTATATCCAAGTACATAGCAAAACATCTTATAATTGCATTGAACATTACATTTATAATTTGAAGGTGTCCTAATCACAATTTTATCATGTATAGTAATATTATATATTACATTGAACGTTACATTTATAATTTGAATTGTAATAAAAGATTTGGTCCATAGAGTATAGACCTCTACTTTTAGTTTTGCTTTAAACCACCAAATTTTCATGATCAGTCCTATTAGTACTCCAATACAGAGTGTGTTTATATGCCGTGGTTGTAACGATTGGTTTCTACTTTCTTGCATTGTACTATAATGCAGGCTTGCAGCGTACATTCGGCCTTGTGCAGGCTTGCAGCGTTTCGTTGCACACATTCAGCTCTATACAGGCTTAGCTTACTGAGTATGAGTGCCTGAGACAAAGAGGATTGAAGCCTGCATTGTGCACCACGATAAAAATTGGTCGTCGTGCTCCTATAGCAAAACGTTTGGCAGGGCTCCTCTCAAAAAGTTTTTTTTGCAATCGTCTGTCCTCTCCTTCCCTGCCCTGCCCTGTCGTCACAGCCATTACATCATGAGTACTTATACTGAAACTAAAGACCCATGGCACGCACATACGCTGTTAAAAAATATAATGTTAGGAATATTGTTTAGTTTACATACACACAAACTGACACACACCAAGTCTGCCCTGTTTTTGCTTTTCCTATAAGAAAGGGAAAGTTCACCACAATCAGAAATTTACACGTATGTATCACCAGCAACCTTTCAAAAATTTCCTTCTTCGATTCCTAATCAGACAGACGACATGCAAAGAAATAGAGTGGAGTGCACGATTAACTCCATCTGTATGTATGTATCACTTAATTAACTTAGATGTAGCACGTTATTATCAGTTGATCACATCACATGGGCAGCAGGTACTGAAACTCGTAGTCCAGGGGAATGACATCCACCACCTCCTCCATCTTGTTGGAAATAATGGCGTTAGCAGCAGCAGAAGCACCGCCATGGATGGGTACATTGTGGCTCCTTGCTAGGTTGCTGCTGCTGTTGCTGAAGGTGAGGCAGTCCACCATGGATTTCCTGAGGGACCAGGATGTGGGCAGCTGCTCGCAGATCCATCGAAGCAGCGACTCCATGTCCTTTGCAAAGTCATGCATGTTAGAGTGGATGAGGCTTGGGATCATCAGCCTCCTCGTCGATGTCACCACTAACGACGCCTGCAGGTACTCCAGCTTTGCCTTCTCCAGATCCATCACAACGCGATCTGCTTTGTAGATCCGAAGCTGCATATATGGGCATGTAGGTAGGTACGTACTACGTTTGTATATATGAATCAATATAATTCCCTTGAGTCACAATAAGAATACTTACTGCTGGCGATGATCTGATGCCACAGCAGAGTGCAAACAGAATGTTGGGTTCTGAAGTCTTGAGCCCATAAACCTCCCTCACCGCCTGTTCTTCCACGTCCACCTCGCATTTCCAGAATTCCTGTTGTTTTTTATATAACTAGTTATTATTAGTACTAGTAGTACTCATGTAGTAATGTAACTACTACTAGTATGCATGTTCTTCGACCAACTGCATCTGCATATGCCTGATCGACAGCAGGGGCAGGGAGGGGCTCACTGACTCACTTCTTTGACACTTGACGGCTGCCTCAGGATAAAATTCTCAATCACCAATGCATTGAAAGTTTGCCCTGACACATTGATTGTTGCCTGCACAAATGAATTATTCTATTCAGACTGATGAACAACTGTAAACCTGTTAATCAGAAATGAAAACCTGCATGTCCAAAACAAAGCAATGAAGATGTAATCCATACGTACCTTGTTCTTGAGTGCGAGTAACTTGTCCGAGTTTGACGGCAAACCATGCTGCAGAATCCCCTGCATGATAGATGTGGTAGTTTCCAAGTTCATCTCCATTAATAATTTGTCCAAATGGATACAAGAAAAAAGAAAAAGAAATTCTCTGACTGAAACTGCACGAATGCATATAGATACACTCCATCTGAATTGAAGGAGGAGACAGATGAGACAGACGTACGTGCATGATGCAGGTGTTGTAGATGTTGAGCCAGAACGCCAGCCTCTGCTGGTGATTCAGGGACCGCACATCCACCTGCTGCAGCTCCTCCAGCATCTCCCTCAGCTTCGTCAGCAGCGGCGACGCCGAGAACCCTCTGAGGAGGTCCAGGGAGTTGGCGGTGAACCTGACGAGGTTCTTGTAGGGGCCGATGTCCCTGACGATGGCGTCCTGGATGCCAAAGATGCCGTAGTGGTCCTGCTGGCCCCTCTCCTTCTCCTTGGCCGCCGCCGCTGCGTTGACGAGGCCGGTGTCCATCCTGAAGCTGCTGAAGCTCCCCCCCTTGGCGGCGAGGTTGCCGGACTTGTCCATTTCGGACACCCGGGACGACCGGAGCAGCCGCATGAAGATGCAGACGAGGCATTTCACGATACGCTCCGACAGCTTGTTGGGCGGCCGCGGCTGGTCTCTCACTCTCTTTGCAGCAGCGATCACCGTGGGGCTCTTGGTGATGGGAAGCTCATGGTTGTGGTGCTGGAGGACGGCGGCGATCTTGCTCGGTGGTGGCGGCTTGTTCGTGCTATTATTGTCCACCACCACATGCCCATGCCCATATCCATTTGACGACGATTGCTTATTCTCGAGAGAATGCCGCGGCGGCAAGCCGGCCCCGGCACCGCCGAAGATGTTGTTCTTGGGGCTCCTCATGCTGTTCATGGCGGCTCTCCTGTCGTCGTCTTTGGGATTGGGGCTCTTCTTCACCTTGCTGAGGTACGCCTCGCCGTCCATGGCCTGGCTGATGAAGAACATGGACTTGCAATGCTCCGCGGCGGATGCAGACAGGCGAGGCGATCGTCCATTGTTGTTGTTGTTGTTGCAGGAGGAGGCATCCGGTGGTGGTGGTGCCGGCGGCTGCTGCTGCTGCTGCTGTTGCTGTTGCATGGCGCCGGTGATGGCGCCGCTGTTGCCTCCTCCTCGTGCTCCTGCTCCCTGCTTCATCCTCTGGATCTGGTCCTCCAGCCTGCCGATCTCATCCTCCACCAGCAGCAGCTCCGCGAGCAGCTCCTTGGCCTTGGTGGGGATGAAGGCGGGGATGTTGGTGAGGGCCATGGAGGATCGAACAGAGCTGGGCTGCAGGGCGCGCTCCAGGATCTGGTGCACCGTCTCCTCGTTGGACAGCTGCTGCTTCAGCTCCGACACCTCCTGTTCAAGCGCCTCACGCCGCTGCCGTTGCATCATCGCGCTGCCCCGCGTCCTCTGCGACTGCATTCGTGGAACGGAAACAGTTAGAATTAAAAAAAAAACTCAAAACATTCCTTTTCTTATTGGGCCAGGACTAGCCGAAGCATAAGGGCAGGTACATTGCTACACGTCAACGGTCTCGTACGCCGTCTCATACAGAGGAGGGATAGAACGAGGTCGTTGTTTCGCGAAACAATCACCTAATTAGTTAAAAGTTAGGACTACGAGACAATTATTATACCATTATATGAGTTGTTGTTGCCATGCAACTCACAACTTTACTTTTATTCTATGCATAAATTAAGGAATTGTGATTTACTACGAGACAATTTAAAAACAACAACCATTGTACATATTGTCTGTTAAATCGTCTTAAAATTACGTAGCACTATGTAAGACTACTTACGAGACAAAGACCAATGTATTTGCCCTAAGCGGGGACCACACGTTTTCCTTTCTTGGATTGGATCACACGGAAGTAGCCCGTTGGAGATGTTTTTCTTTCCACTACCCAAAAATAGAGTAAGGGTCTATTTAGGTTGTCTGTTATATGGTGTGGTTTTCAAGATATATCTATTGAACATTACAGTAGAGAGGCAAATCAAGTGGCTCAATTTAGCAAGAAGAGCTTTGCAATATAAGTAGAATTGTATTTGGGTCGATGAGCCCCCTAACTTTATTTTAGATCTCTTCATCAATGATGTAACAATCTTGAATGAATAAAGTTTGCCGTATTGCTTAAAAAAAGTTCTTAGTTAAGTTTAGTTTTTTTTTTTAAAAAAAAAGACATCCTAGGATATACTGCTGAAACAAAAACCATTACAAGAAAAACCGAACCCCAAAAAATTAAAATACTATACTGGTAAACTGGGTCGCACATGGCAATAGCTCATGAAAATGTTGAAAATGATTCGTTTATAATAGCATGGCTAAAGTATGGTGAAGATGTTGACGTTACCTAATGCAAATTTGACGAGTTCTTTTTTTATGAGAATTAATGACAACCTTAGTAGACGAAAGAAGCAATATAATGAACAAAATAAAACCCCCCGAAATAGCATGTCTCGGTGAGAAGAGAAACGGAAAAAAAAAATATAGAAAAAGGCAGTTGTCTTTATCTAGAAATAAATAAATAACATCAGCTGTGGATTAATGGGAGAAAGTCGGTGGCAATTAACTGGCAGCCGAGGAAATTAAATAAACCAAACGCAAGTCTCAGCATGGCAGTCAGGCAGGCTAGAGGAGGAAGTGCATGCTGTCATGTTTTTTCTTTCCAAATGCAAAATATATACTGCTAAGTAGAAGTAAATATATATACTGCTCCTAATAATCTAAAATTAATGAGCATAATAACTATAATAAATAATTACTGCATATAAATAAATAAACAGCGTAGTATAGTCGTGATGGTGACGGACTCACCACAGGCGGAGGACGGTGATCGCCGATGGAGTGAAGCTGATGAGCCGCCTGAGGCTGATGAGGAACAGGCGGCACGGCGGCGGCGGCATTGTAAGTGTGGTGGGTATGGCCTGCTGCTTGCATCCGCGCGACCACGTAGTCCATCGCCGGCGGCCTGTCGATCGCCGATCGCGGGCTACGCTTTTGTTTCCTCGCGGTGGCCGGCGGTAATCAGATCATATGGGGATCGATCGATCGGCCGGATAGATTTGCTGGTATCTACTACTGCCTACTGCTAGGGGTAGCATGCATATCGCTCAGTACTATACATATATAGCAAGCTAGAGAATTAATAATACGAATGAAGAAGATGATCCGTGAGGCTACGAACATAACCAATTGGTAGCAATGGAGAATGATATAGCTAGCGATAGATGAGAAGAGCGCAGAGGCTGCAGGTAGCTGCTGGGAGGGAGCTGTCGGCGATGTTGGTGTCGGCTGCGGGCGGTTGGTGGTGGTGGTGGTGCGACGGTGCGGTAGGCCAGGCCCTGCCCTGCCCTGCCTGCAAGTAACCGCCGCTGGACCTACCGACGTCGCCGTTGCGCGTGATGAGCGAGCTCGGTGCAACAAGCAACAAGTGCCATCTGCCCATCTCCTGTATGCTTTGCTTTGCTTTCTTTCTTTCTTAGCATAATTTCCCGTTTGCATCCTTGGAATTAAAATTATTTAATAATTATAATTTAGACACAGATTAATTAAGCTTATATGGTTGTATATGGCGCTCGCATTCTAGGCCGACCGGCGTTTGCCTATGTAACAACTCATTTTCCTGCTTAATGATATACATGCTAAGCATGGTTGCGAAAAATATATGGGTGTATATGGAATATATTTGTATATTACTGTGGCTCATACGAGAGAGATAAGTATGTGTTGTATTTCTATCGTAGGAGAGTGAGTTGAAGAGCGTGTTATAAGTTGCAAAGTGAAAATATAGCATGATGACCTATAAAATCAAATTTCACCTCCTACTCTGTGAATTTGAGATATGCTTATATGTGAATGAACTTCAGAAAGTTGTGAAATACCAAATTCCAATAAATAACCTAGTCTATCAAGTAGATTTCAATTTCCCAAAAAATAAAATGATCCAATCGACCTCTTATTGTATAGCAACGCCACACGTTGTTGTCGCTGCTTCATTCATTTGCGCGGTATCGTATTATATTATATCATATCATAATATATTATAAGTTTTGGTTAGAAAAATATTCGTATCAATGTCATCTGCTATAAAATTCTAAAAACCCTTTTGGGACATATACTTAGGAGCTTTTCATAAATTTTGAACAGATGCATGTATATATAGTTTATCTATAGATGTGCATTGCCAGAAATTTTGAGAATCAAAATCGTTCAAAAAAATTCATATGGAAACAAATTATAGTTGTATATGTGCTAGAAGACAAAATTCCGAGTGCACGTGCACCTATAATTTGCTATTTTCGTATGATTTTTTTTAGCTAGGTTGAGTGAGTTTCAATCTTAAATTTTGTGGCAATGTATATCCATAGATATACTACATATCACTAGTAAAAAAAAGATTTTTTAAAGACGTCTTCTATTTCTTACTAGAATGGTTTACTTAGTATTGAACTGTTTGTAACTAGCTCCAGGAGTACTGTACCTTGTAAACTGTCCAAAGAAATACATTTTAGTGACGGTCAGGTTAAGAGAGTCTCTTCTGAAAGTATTACTATATCAAAGATGTAGTGTTGGACGAGATCTAGAACTTTGTAACTGAAAAATTTTCCATTTAAGATTGTTTATAAGCTAAAATATTTATTACAAGACTTGTACATATTAGTAAAAAAGAAGATAGCAATAACATTATATAAGTAGTTACAATTGACTATGTGGTGCGGTGGTAGGGGATCAAACACGTGAGGCGAGAGGTTGTGGGCTCGAATTATGGTGACTGCACTCTATTAGATTAGAAAATATAAGTAGACAAGTAACAGTGAGAGGTTGTGGACTATTGTACTAGACAAACTGTCCCTGAAAATTAATTTGCAATCTATGAACGTAACTTATTTTTACCATTGATATCAAAGTATCGGTTTTCATTGATATCATAGTATCGGTTTTGCTAACCGATTATAAAGATCGTTTTTTACCGTTCGTCAAAAACATTTATGTACTAGTATATGTGGAATTGACTTTTTTTTTAAAAAAAATCATAAGTATATTTTTCTAGAGATTTTTTATAATTAATTTCATAAAAATATTTTGTGGCTTCGTGTTGCCTTGGTTGGTCGCTGGATTGGAACCCATCCATCGTTCATCACCATCATTGTCACTACTTGCAATATAATACGCCTCATCACAATTCACGATACGGACGGAAAGAAAAATGGATTGCTCGAGTAACCGTTACGCACGTTGGTTACCAAAGGATCTTGGATACGGACCAGATTGGATCGTGGGGCTACCTAGCTAGCTAGGAAGGCAGTTTAGTTTGCTTCAGACCCAATGAATTGATTCTATTGATTTATCTGTCTCTATCTCTATATTTGCATGCGGATGCGGCATGCCTACCGCCACCACTACCCGCCAGCAGATCGATTCAGCGATGCAGCCGGCAGTGGTTACCAGCTGACAGAGAGACATACTGCCCTGCTGCTTTTCTTGCCTTTAATTGTCTTGCCTTGTAATCTAACTTAGACAATTAGCAGCTATAGGTGGCACTACCAGCATCAGGCTCCTCCATCCTCCAAATAGCTGCAGGACAAATAATCATCATCATATCATTATCATCACATCACGTCAGCGTGGTAATGTGTATACTCCTATATCTATCTATCTTGAGGAATGCATGAGTGCTACCCAGCACCAAGGATATCATCGGAGTTTAATTAATAATTTTTAAGGCCTTAGTCTATATCTATACCTATACATATATATCTAATAATAAAGAGGCAAAATTTTAGTCTATTTTTTCGTCCATTTTTTTTTTGTCCGTCTCCCTCTAACTACCGGACAATCCCTCTAACTACCGGACAATGGAGAGTTTCTTCCATCCGAACTTATATATACTAGCAAAATGTGCCCGTGCATTGCAACGGGAGAAAAGCAAAACAATCGATCGTTCATGCGATATGACTACATTTTATCCTTATAAAAATTTAAATCTAATTTATTTCATGATCATCATGACATCCATAATATAAGTTAATGTTGGTAATAATATGACAATGTTCTATTAAGCCGGTATCCAACCAAAAAAAATCTTGATAGATCTTTTTTTCTCCCGTTGCAAAGCACAAGAGTATTTAGACGTAAATATATTGTAACTTTAATTTCCATACTATTCATATGGTGTTACACTTATATATTGAGCCCTTTTTTGTGACTTATATATTGAGCTCTATGACTTTCTTTGAGCACCCATAGAAATATATAAGTTATCATATTCAATTAAAGTCGGAAGGAGATAGTTGCGGACATGTCAAGCATCGGTATGTTCTCCCATGATTATAACGGGAGACCTCTCTCGAATTTTCATATATCAGCTCTTATTAGATATTTATTTAAGGGTAAAGTCCAATTTACACCCTCCAACTTTCACCAAAGTCCGGATTTCAACCTCGAACTTCAAACCGGATAACTTTGGCCCTCCAACTCTTGAAAAAGTTCAACTTTCAACCTTCTGGGCGGTTTTGCGGGTGAACAATAACTTTTGATATCTTCGGAAGACGCCGAAATTTTATATTATTTTTTCGAGCATCTTAACGTCCTCAAATGAAAAAACTCAAAACTATAAAGTTGTAGATCTCATCGAGGTCTACAATTTACATATAAAAATTATCTTCATCCGACATCGTATTGAAGGGTTTTCTATTTTTTTAAACTTTGAGTCTCATCACGTGACAAAATATGATGCTGAAATTTTATATTATTTTTTCGAGCATTTTAACGTCCTCAAATGAAAAAAACTCAAAACTATAAAGTTGTAGATCTCATCGAGGTCTACAATTTACATATAAAAATTATCTTCATCCGACATCGTATTGAAGAGTTTTCTATTTTTTGAAATTTGAGTCTTATCACGCGACAAAATTGAGGTCTGAAAGCGCTACACCGATGCAAATGCTAAAGGAGGAATGATCCATCCATCCTTCTCCGCTAGCTATAATCAGTGGAGTAGAAGCCAAGAAGGCCGGGTGTTCACTTCACTTCAATTCTCAGATCAAGCTTGCTACCTAATATATGTATGCCATCTGATATATAAACTAGAGCATGCAGGTAATGATCGAATAGATTTGGTAGCCAGTACTTGTCATGCGTCCCAGGGACATCGATCGAGTCCAGCGATATCGACCTCCTTCCTCACATACCTTTTTTTCCCCTTTTGAGGGCCGGGGAACAACAGAGGGTGAAAGATCGCCCAACTCAACCATTCATGCATCTCGATTGCTTGATGCTCACACAACGTGCGGCAAGGAGTCATGCATGGTACATTCTTAGGAGATAACACATAGCATGGAGGTGGCCGAGGGTAGATAATTTTGATCATCGATGAGATTAGAGCTCTAAGTTACATCGACAAATGGGGTATGCTCACATCATCAATATTGTTCCTAATCATATTTAAAGTAACGATACTATGTAGCAACAAATTCTGACCTTGTTTTTTTCACTTTGTATCCAACTGTTGTATGTCCTCATTATACCCCCATTCGTAACCACAAAACAATCCTCGATTTGATCTTAGTTGAAGGACATGTTGTAGGTAGTAGCCAACATTACTCACCTTGTTGTGACTTATCCTGTTTTTTAAAACAAAACTAGGAGGGCTCGACATGACACTATTATACCTATTCCATCTTTCTACTTGATCATATCGTTGCACAACAAAAGAAGATATCAAATCCGAACAAATGTAAATTCGATGTACCATATATTATCCTTTACAATCATACTTGCTAATAAAATGATATGTATGTCTAGAAGACCATGGTAAATAAGCACATACAAATTTATCCTCCATACTATTTAGATCATGTAGAGTATTAAAATCAATATAGCCCAAAGTATTTAAAGAAAACACCTTTCCATTTTGTTCTTTCCACTTTTGCGCTTTCGACAATTTTAGTTCACCTTTTTCAGTAGCGATGGAGGGGAAGTTTTTATTTCACCATAAGTATTTGGTTAAAAACAAAAGAATCATTTTCATTCACTAGTTACGACATAGAGATAACCAAAGTACCAACACACAACTTGTCTTTATCACGATGAATAGCAGTCCAACTAACTTGTAACAAAGGTAGATCAAGAGAAGGTTCCAATGTAACATGATTGGTGGACAAAATTAACACATTAGGGGGGCTCTTCCCTTAAACAACAACCTTTTTTATTTTTTTCGCTTGTGCTTTTTTCTGTGCATGTTGCAAAATATTAGTTTTAACAAGAGGCGAAACAACATGTTTGTTTTGTAACAATTCAGATTTAGAATAAGACCTTTGTAGCATCATCACTCGTCCATATACTTTTAATAGCACATATTAGTTCCAATATGTTATTTTTAATCAGTTATTCCATTTCATCTTTCAAAATTCCAGCACGAGTCATAGGTAAAAGTATATTTTTTTACCAGATTGTATATGAATGAGTATTTATTATCAATCTTATTGTGCAAAACATCATTGTTAGATATCCATGGTTTACCGAACAATAAAGAACATGTTTGCATATGTACAACATCAAATCAAAATTATTCTTGTAAGTAACAATTGAAAAATTTAGCCATACAGGCTGCTGCCAACCAAGCTCTGTGCATGCAGAACTTGTTTGTTTGGTTGCAGGATGTCTATTCATCCTCGATGAACAACATCGTTGATTGGTTGGCTGGCTCTTGGGTTCCCAGACGCCCAGGCTCAACATCGCCAGCTAGGCCGTGATGAATGAAACGCAGAAAAATTTCGCATCCCGTGGGCTAGCCGGTGCCCTATTGCATAATCATGTCGCGGGCCAGGCTCAAGCTTCACTCCAGTCTCCAGGCAACCAATCATCCCTAAACTGCATGGCACCCTAAAAGGAACCAATCACACCCTAAGAGCTCATATCGGTTGCATCTCAATTTTTTTCGTTATGGCTTTCCCCCTATTTTCTAGAGTTAAATCTTGTTCCTATAAGCATTTAGATATATTTTCATGATCTCTAAATAGTGTATTTAATTTTCTCATATACCAATCTATCTCTAAGATTTTTATCGAAATTTTGAGAAGTTTATTTAAAGATCATTAGTTTTAAAACCTTAATAAGTGCCCGTGAGAACTTTTAATGAAAATAATAAAACCCTGAGAACCATTTTAAACTAGAGCGATATAATAAGGGTCTTAAGAAGAGCTGAAATAGAACAAAATCTAAACTACGTCAATAGTTTTAAAGCTAAAAAAGTTTTATTAAGGATATTTTTGAATAAGAAGAGTTATTGATAAAAATTACAACAAAGAGGCGCAAGTGTTTTTGGCCCGTTGTAGACCCGACGACACGGCCCAAAAGACGGAGGAATAAGAAATTGGCGGGCGGGCGGGCGGGCGGGAAGTTCAATAAGGTCGGCTCCGCCGGCCGCACCACACCTTTTCGTCTCTTTCTCTACCGCACAAACGGAGACGGAGCCTGGGACCTGGGTGGTCAAACGAGCTGACACGTGGGCCTGGCGTCTCTTCCGTTCCATGCAATGCAATGCAATGCAACGGAGGTGTAGTGGACCCCACGTGTGAACGGAGATTGCGTGCTCTGTTAACTAACGGCCGGGGAAGAAGGAAGGAAGGCAGATCGAATCCCTTTTCCTCTTCTTCTCCAATCCGATCCCCATCTTCTTCCTTGATTGATTGCCTGATCGGCTTCCTCTTCCTTGATTCGAATCCAAGTAACCTACCCAAACGGCCAAACCCCCACCCCCAAGGAAGGAACCCTACCCGTGGCCGTGAGAGGCGGCGCCACGCCGGAGCCCGGACGTGGTGGCAGGCGACCGATCCGGAACCATCATCCAAAGCAAAGCTTCCTTCCTGTCCCCTATCCATCCCACCCACAAGTAAGATGCGATTTCTCCCTCTGCGCGACACCGCGAGTTTCTCGATGCTGCTTCCACTATTGCTATTGGGGAATTCGATTTGCTTTCCTTTTCTTTTCCTTTCCTTTTCGTGGGGAGGTAGTAGTAGTATATTCCTCGAGGAAACCTAGGTGATTGCAATGTCGCTTTGATGATGATTATGATGATTTCCGACCATTTTACTTGCACAGGAGAAGACAATACCATATATAAGGGATTAGTGACTGCATCAATCAAGGGAAAGCCATGGTTTTGTTCGAACTAGACCCGGACATCATCCGATGGGGTCTTCACCATCTCCTCCCGGCTCCTGCTGGCTACTCTGCTGATAATCGCACCCAAACCACCCCTACCACACCTTGTACAGCCTTTGTTCGCCCTCTTGATCAGCCCACCGGAGACATGGGTAGCTCAAACTCTGTTGAGATCAAGGTTGAGCATGTCAATGCGGTTGACAACGACGAGGTCATCGCGCAAGCCCTTCAGGAAGAATTGTCCCATGTCGCCCTCGCCGAAGCATCCGGGGCAACCAGCACAGCTGACGATCAACAACATTCTGCTGTTCTCACGCAGCAATGGCTTCGCCCACGTGCCGTCCTTGTAGAATCATGTATGACCCTTCTATTCATTTTCAAAAATAATATCCCTTTCTACTGCATCCATCCTTTGCTTGTATTATTATTATTAAGTGCTATACCTCCTCCAGCTTCTCAAGAAGCGGGGACCAGGGAGGAACCTTTCAGCACCTGCTCAAGCCCTGGAGATGGTAATACTGTCCAGGACAGCCAGGCATGCTTGATAGAGCTCATGGATGACTTCTCTGTCCTTGACGGTGAAGTGGGCAAAAGGTTGAACAGCATGGTTCCTGTTCCTGTAAGTACTACCAAGTCACTTCGCTTCCTCGTGCTTCAACATGCAAGTTACATCTACTACTATCTGCATTCTCAAGGCTTACCGTGAGGGTTTTGATAATCTGTTCCTTTTGCTGTCACAGCATGTTCCTAAAATAAATGGAGAGATTCCTTCTGTTGATGAAGCCATTTCAGATCATCAAAGACTTCTTGACAGGTAGGTAAACCAAAGCTTAGGCTGTATGTGTCAGACAGTCATCACAGAGCCCATGTGCCATAGTAGTAGATAAAACATTTGAAAAATGTTACCAACACAAATCGATGCTGTCAGTGGATATAATTGCTTACCTGAAATGACCTATGCTGTGTCAGTATTGTGATATTTTTGTCATTTGACTCGAATATAATTTCTTTCTTTTCAAAAGGTTGGTGCTGTACGGTTTGGTTGATCTCAAGGTTAAAGGAGATGGCAACTGCCAGGTTTGTGTAAAGGATCCATCATTTCCCCCTTTTTGCGTGATGCCATCTCACAGTATCTATTTGTATTGTGTGGTCTCTAAACAGTTTCGAGCGCTGTCAGATCAATTTTACCGAACTCCTGAACATCACAGATTTGTTCGGGAACAAGTGGTGAAGCAGGTTAGTATTTCCGAAAATACTAGTTTTATTTCAGCCATATATGAACTTCTGTATGCAAATGCATTTCATTGGTAAATATCTACTACCATACTTCATCCCAGTATTTTCACCCCTTTTTAACATTCCCTCTGATCCCCTTTAAATTGCTGGCACCTGGCAGCTTGAATCGCATCCTGAGATTTATGCAGGATATGTCCCTATGGATTACAGGGAATATCTCAGAAAAATGTCAAAGTGAGTATTTGTTCTGCTCTCTATTTATAATCAAGCCAAAGGGTGCCTAGCTAAACTGGTTAGGTGGCCTCGGCGGCACTCCTCAGGTCCTGAGCTCGACTCCTCGTGGGAGCGAACTTTAGGCTGGGGTTAAAAAAATCCCCTCGTCTGTCCCACGGCCAAAGCGCAGGTCAAAGGCCCGGCCCGGTTCTCACATGGCAACGGCGCCCCTGTGTCAGGGTGGGGCAGGGGTTCGGGGGTTTTCTCGACCTGTGTGAGAAGGTATTCTCTCTTACAGCAATGCCCGAGGGTGGCTTACCCCCCGCAGGTCGAGTTTTTTTTTTCTATTTATAATCAAATGTTTAGGTTATAATAATGTAAATGCATGTCCTCATTTTGTTTTGCTTAAACAATCGAACCAGGAGCGGAGAGTGGGGTGACCATGTTACATTGCAGGCTGCTGCAGACACGGTAAACTTTTTGTTCTTGACCTTTTTGTTGTTGTGTTAATGTACGTCTGACACTATATATTTGGTAAAGGTACCCAAGTAAATCCTCCACTTTCACAAGTGCCACTGCCATTAGTGGCTAATGAATCTGGCTTCAGTGGTTAGTATACCTTGTTATATTTGGAAGAGGCAGGAGCTCCGCCTAATCAATTATGATAGGGTATAAAACGATACAAAGTACATAAGTGCACACAAAATTACAAAAAAAAAAAATCATAACCGAAAGCGAAGCTCGCAAAATAAGTGGTCGGCATATACATCTTTTATTTTCAATGCAGGCACAATCAGCAAATAAGATTAAAGTTAAACTAGCGATGATGTTACAGTTGCTGTTTCTGCAATTGGTTGATCTTTCTGTCCAACATTCCTGTTGTTTCAAGTATCTTATACAATTTGGTTTCTTCTGCTAGCATGCTGTCTCTGTTATGGGTTTGCAAGCTGATTGGTCGGCGTTGTCAGAATTGCATTGCATGGCTGGTGCCTAGTATGAGAACTAGGAGTATATTAGAATTTCTTTCATTGGACAAAAAACTTTTCAAAGGAGTCTGTCTGTCTTTTATTTTTCTTGGACTACTATTGGTCTATTTTATTGTATTTGTGTATATATGATATGAAACTCAAGTGCATGCACTGGCTTTTGCAGTATGGTGTAAAGATCTTCATCCTGACATCATTCAGAGATACATGTTACATTGAGATTCTTCCTGTTGTTGAGAAATCCAGAAGAGGTAATGTTTGTTTTCTAATATGATTGTTATCGAGTTTATATACTGGAACACTAGATTCAACAAATATTTTATTGACTTCATGTGAAACTTAGGTGCCTGCCATCACATCAAAATTTGAGTATTGTTTGCCTAAGCAAAGTTTTTTTTTTCTTGGGCATATTTCTCCATGGTTGCTTTTGTTGATGAGCAGAAGTGAGCATGTTTTAGCTATCTAAACTCCTGGAGTCTTGTCGTGCAGTTATATGCTTGAGTTTTTGGGCTGAGGTGCACTACAACTCCATATATCCGGAAGGAGGTATTAGATGTCACCATTTAGTATGTTGACCATGTTTGTTGAGTGTTTGATTTCATCATTTTTATCTGTTGCTGCAGAGTTGCCGGTTTTGGAGAACAAAAAGAAAAGCTGGTGGCCCTTCTAGCTAGCATTCCCAGGAGCAGGAAGAAGATTAGAGCAGCTAGGGATCCCGAGCAGCTAACAGACAAGGGGCCTTTCTGTTGGGCTATGTGACTGACTTATGACGACGCGGAGGCCATGGGTGGTTGCGGCTTGCGCCCGGACGGCACTGCATTACCATTGCCATTGCCATAGGGGAGACATGTACAGTCCTGTACGTAGTAGATGATACTATCCCATTTGTACAGGGAGGGAGGGAGGGAGGGAGGGAGGGGTCAGGCCATTAGGATAGTAATACAGGAGAGGCTGAGGGTCATTCATTGATTCATTTGCTATCGTTAGTTCCTTTTCCGGTCTTCTTGTGATAGGCTCACGCTCATTCTTGTTCTTGGACATATTATCATCATCAGACAAATAATGCGTACGTACATGAACTTGGTTGGAAACAACACAGTATGTTGATGACGATAACTTTATTTCGTCGTCAAATGGCTGCCAGTCTCACGGATGAGGAATTTCTATTAATTCATCAATAAGATGTCATGTGATTGTATGCCCAGCTTTATTCTTATTCAATCGGCCTATAAGACGAATAAATAAATATAGTGAGCTTTTGCAAGACTGAAATAAATAAATACTTCATCCCAAAATAGTTGGTGTTTTATGATTCAAAAAATTGTCCTAAAATAGTTTTCATTCTCAGTTTCCAATGCACTTTTTTTTTTCTTTTTTTCCAATATTTCCTAATGCATCTCTACTCCCTCCATCTCACAAAGTAAATGATCCTGCAGTTTAAATCTTGTCCCAAAATTAATGTAACCGTAGAGTTCAAATCAGATTTTTCAAAGGGCCCCATCAATAATAAACACAGCATGCATTTGGAAAATCAACTTACCTCATGCTGTACTTTGAACACTCTAGATTGTTTTTGAGCTCCGACGCATGGAGAGAAAGATATAAGAGGGGCACATGTGTAATTTCACACTTCCACTAAACTTCACCCAACGATCCAACAAGAATCTCTGAGCGAGTCTTCCACTTTTGTCGAAGGATCAGGGCTGCTGTCAGGGGTGAAGGATTTGCAAGAAATGCAAGGGAGAAGCTTGGGCGCCACCAATGGAGTTTGTGTGAGAGAGAAAGCTGTTTTGAAGCACAAGGAAGAAGAATGGTCGAGATAACCGTTGAAGGAGGAAGGGGACGAGGTAATACCCATTCTCTCCAACGGTCACAAAACAAGTCGCGGCAATGCCGCTCCAGCCTAGCAGCCACAAAGTAAAGAGTGAAAGGTTTGCTGCCAAGGCTAAGGTTTGGAGGATACTTTAGGTGGGCATTTGAGCACTTAGTTACACATTGAAGCTTGTGGATTGTATCCCCTTTGTAGTATGACTTTTCTTATACTCAAATTCAAAATAGAATATGAATTAAAATGCCTTTTGAGCTGGTTGCCGCATTCTTTTGTAATTGGGGACTCCTCTGTCCTGTGCCATGAGCTATGGTTTCTTAGTGTATTCCTGCGTAACAATCGAAAATGATATTTGGAACATTGTGGTATGTGTAACACCCTCGGTGTTACCCCGTTAATCATCTACTAAAACATGCCATGAGTACCATACTTGTGTGTTAATGCATGTGGTGAAATGTGTAGATCAATTTTTGTAACTCAAAATGATCAATAAAAATGCTAAACGAAAGTTGGTTCGATGGTTCATGCATATCAAGTAGGGTTTAAAACCAATTTTTATTAAGCAAAAATACTACAGAACATGTGTGTGATACTTAAATAAAGTTTGAAGTATAAACTTTGTAGATGACAATGAAATATTTGCTTTTGAAAAATAATATTACTTTGTAATATTTTTAATAGCCTAGAAATCACAAATTGAAATCAAGTTCAGTTCAAAACTTAGAAAATTTCTAAGTCTGTCAACAGCTAGACGTTGCTATGTTTAGCAATTTATTTGGAGAGATTGGGTTAAGGAGTGGTGTAGTGCTATAATTCGATTTAGTAGTTCCATATCCCATCTGGAGTGTAGTGAAGCAAGTTTAAGTTTAGGAGCAACAGTTTGGTCGTGATCAGCTCTTTAAAATTCGTGCGCGTACTTGTCTCGGTTTGGTTGGCGTCGGGTGCGCGGTCACCGCGCGGCCTCCCCACGCCGCGCACATGGTTGCGTCTTGCGCGGTCACCCTGCGCCACCACGCTGGGTCGGTCGGGCCGCCTGGGCTTGGCTGAGGTCGATAGCAGCGAGCTGCTGGCCCCGCGCCCTGTTGCCCAGCCTCACGCTGCCGCCATTGGTGCCGCCGCGACCGCGCTGTCGCTGTCGTCGCGTTCGCCCATTGCTGCCTCATGTCGCGATGCTGCTGCTGCCGTCGTGTCACTCCTGTACTCGTGTCTGCTCGCTGCATCGCGTTGCCCCCTCCCTGGCCCGGTTGGGTACCGTCCGCATGTGGTCATGCACGTCGTCGTCACGCTATTAATGGCGCTGCGGCGCGCGGGCCATGGACGGTCGCGGACGCTCATGCTCGTCCCCTCGTGCTTGGACGTAGGTCCCTCGGCCACAGCCGCTCGTGTCCCGCCAAGGCGAGGACGAACCGAGCCCACCTGTCGCGCCCTGTTTCTCTCTTTCTCCCTCTGCTTTCCGTCGCCATCAAGTCACGGTCATGGTGAGCCAGAGAGCGTGCTCCTCTCATCAATTTCTCGTGCCCGCGTCTCCGCCTTTATGTCCTCTTGCCGACTTTCCCCACCCCGCCTTGATTACGGCCAGGCCGAGCTCCAATTTTGGAACTTTGCTCCCACCGCCGCGCCATTAAGGCCCAGCCCGCCTCATCATGGACAGCTCCAACCTCGCCATCTCGTGTCAAATTGACCGCACCACTAGCCCTGCCTAGAACCCCTCTTCATCGTACGCATGCTAGTCATAGCTCTAGTGCCGCCTCCTCACAATTGACGCGGCACCTTTGTGGTCCGCCATTCACCTCGCAGCGCGCACATGGCCAGCCTCGCTCGGGTCATCTTCGGCCGAGCCGGCACCTCGGTTTGGTCATTGGTGAGTCGTCGTTGCTCACCCACTACCCCTACTGCCCTATTGTTGCTGCGACTTGTAAGGAAAATGGACGCTAGGCTCATTTACTTTAGATTTTGGTGTTTGATGACCAACACAACCAAATTGAATTAATGAATTTGCAAGTTATTATTTTGTAGTTCAATAGGGTGTAAGACGTAACTTGGACGAAGGCGACGTGATGATCCCACGATCAATACCTTAAGCAAGACCCTAGAAGCACAAGAGAAGACCTAAGATACCAAGCATAGTCTAAGCATGAAGATAGGAACCAAGTCGAACGCAAGATCGCGAAGAAACGAGCTCACAGAGGTGACTGGACGTAGCACCGGACGCTACCCATATAACGACCGAACGCTCCGATCAGTTGCTCGGCAACAGAAGGCGTCTGTAGCAGCGACCGGACGCTGAGTACTGAAAGTGACTGGACGCACCGATGACACTGTTCATCATCCCGGCAACACACTCAGTACTGACCGGATGCTGGCGGCAAATCGACCGGACGTAGGAACTGCAGTGTCCGATCGAGTACAGAAAGGTTCCAGAGCGACGAAATTACGACCGGACACGTCCGGTGGCATGTGACTGGACATCATCAGCGTCCGATCAGTTGATCGCGGCTCTAACGGTCGAGATGACCGAACGCGTTCAGTCAGGACGACAACAGCGTTAAGTCAGTAGCAGAAAAGCAGGATTTTGTCCCCAACGGCTACTTTGTCAGTGGAGCTTATAAATAGACCCCCCAACCGGCCATTTGAGTAGAGTGGAGCTGAGAAAACATATCTAGGGTGTTGATACACCATTTTAGTGATCTTCACTTGCATAGTGCTTAGTGATTCATTAGGTGATTAGCGTAGGTGCTTTGCGAAGTGCTTAGGATTGATTAGACCACCGCTTATGCGCTTGCTCTAGGTTTAGGCCTAGTGTTTAGTGAGGTTTGCACACCTCTTATCACTCGATGCTTGCGCACATCATTGTTGTACATCGGAGGGGCTTGTAGTCTTACGAGATCACACAAACCGTGTTTGTGGTGTGGCCGCCACCGTGTACCGAAGAAACAAGGACCGCGACGGTTTGGCCAGAAGCTTGATAGTGAAGACGGCGGGGAGTGGTCTAGGATAGGCTTGCCGAAAGGCACACCGGAGACCCACTTGGGCGTGGGGAAGGCCCAGGGCTATCCACGGAGTTACCCGAACGGGAGCTTGGTCCTTAAGAGGGATTCGTTGCGAGGGGCTCCAATGAGGACTAGGGGGAAGGTTGCGCGCTTCTCGATACCTCAGTAAAAATACCGGAGTCGTCGACGAGAGTTTGCATATCTCTACCTTACTCTTTAGCTTCCGCATTTATATTGTTTGCATAACTCCTTTTGCGGTAGAGATAGCAACACACTAGCAAAACCATAGTTGCACATTTAAATAGTTTATTTTTTGAATAGGTTTTGCTAAGGTTAGAAAAAGAGGCCATAGTTTAGCATTAGAGTTTTAAGTTGCCTAATTCACCCCTTTTTTAGGCGTCACGATCCCTTACAACGTAGAACATTATCGTATCTTCGTTGCGGGAATATTCACGTTTTCGATTTGGAAATATTTACGTTCCTATAAATATCCCAAAGTTTTCATCTCGTTCCACGTTCTTGTTTCACCTTGAGAACATGGCTGCTAAGGTCGTACTCTAGCGTCTAGCATAACGTAACAATCCTCTCCAGCTTTACTTTAATTAATTTATGTAGCCCTCAGCTACCGTATGAAATAATGTATTGGAAAGAAATTAATAAAGGTTAATGCAATCTAATATTATCATTAGTTCGAGCTACTCCTATACCAATATATATGGAAGTCCTAATTGGGATTGGCCTAAATAGTTAGCTAGTTTCTCAGGTTGGCTGGAAATTGTACGTCGATCAACTAGTAGTCCAACAGGTCTCTTTAAGTAATTACTAACAAATATACCCGTGCGTTGCACCAGA